ATTTTTTACGCGTTTCATGACGAAAGTTGAATTGTCATTTAGCTCTGACATCAAATATCTCGGAGTAAATTCATCCATGTCATTTGGATGATATGCTATTAAATCATATCCCTTAGCGAGCTTGTATTTTCCAGGTTTGAGATTATATCCGTTTTGGTGCTGAGCCATAAAGCTAAATAGGTCCGGGTCAGTATTTCCATCCTTGAACTTTCCAATAGCTTCTTTATATCTGTCACTAAAGTCAACAGTATCTGGGAAACCACACTCTTCTTTAAGCATTTTTAAGAATTCTTGGTTTCCTTGTTCTCTACTTCTTTTATGTCCTTGCTCTGTTTGTGGTTGTTGTTGTGCAGGGTTTTGAACTGTTGGTTGCTGTGCTGGTTGTTGTGTTGGTTGTTGTGCTGGTTGTGGAGGTGGTTGTTGTGCTGGTTGTTGTGCATGCCTGTGTCTGTGTCCATGTGACGATGTAAATGTTCTAGGTAGTCCTGGTGCAGGTGCTTCTCTTGGAGGGTTTGGTGGTATATAAGTTCCACCAGCTGGCACATATGTTCCATCTGCAGCGTAATGTCCTACCTGACTTTTCGTTTTTAAGAAAGCATTTACTAGGTCTGTTTTGGTCTGTTGTAACTCTTTTTCTTGACTTTTCACAACAGTTGCTCTAACGGCGTCATAGGCACTTTGAACTGCCTGTCTCGTTGCTGCATCTGTTATTTTCGTCATATTTTGTGCTACTTCTTTTAACTCTTTGTCGAAACCTTCAGACTTCAGTTTCTTTCCAGATGAGAAGTCGTTCACTTGTTTCACCTTACTATGAAGAGCTTCGAAAGCGTTCTTAAAGTCAGCATTTGTTAAAGCTTCATTTGAACTGTCTTCATCCGCTTGTATTTTTGTCCTTATTGACCCTATGAGTTGGGCTGCTTTAGCGTTGGCTTGGGCATCTAACCAGTCATTATTAGCTTTTATATATTCTGCGCTTTTCATTGCCTTTTGCATGGCTGCGTCGTTATTTTTACTTTCTTGTGCTAAGTTTTCATACTGTACGGTTTGGTTTTGCAACTGTAAAAGTTTTTCTGCCTTTACATTTGCTTCAACTTCTTTTTTATACTCATCGCTATCCATATATGTCTTCAGGGCTTTTTGTTTTATCTCTTCATCTTTCAGTACTTTATATTGAGTAGTATGGTTTTTCAAATTTATGACATCTTGTTCCATTTTGCTACTTCTGCTGCTTTTTCTGACACTTTTTTCGCATATTCCTCTGTACTTAGTTCTTTCAGTTGTTCTTCTTTCTTCTTTTTCTCTACGTTTAACTCATTGAGTTTCTTTGTGTGTCTGTCATATTCTAGTTTCTTTTCGTTTTCACTTATTTGCTTCTGTATGTCTATGTTTGACTTTTTGACATCTGTTATTTGATTTTTGAGTGAACTCAAATTCATTTGACTTTGAGGGTTATAGGCTGTTCCGTCTGCAGCTCCACCATAGCCTGCCATTTTCGCTAAAAGTGCCGCTCTTAAACCTCCACTCTGTGCACCAACAACTCGGTTTAAAAGCATAGGATTGCTTGACATTTGTTGCAACATAGTGGGGTCATTCAGCATTTGTTGTTGCAACTGTTGTTGTGGTGTCAGTTTTACTATTGGATGTTTCAATGCTCTCTTCCTCTTACGTATATTCTTACGTAGCTTACGTGGCATTTTAAGTGAAGTTAAAAAGCGGTTTTTGACAGATGTTTTGTTGTGACTTCTTCGTAAAGACTTTGTTGAGATTTCTTCATAAATGTTTTGTCAAGACTTCTTCATAAAGACTTTGTTGAGATTTCTTCGTAAAGACTTTGTTAAGACTTCTTCATCGTAATGAGTGTAAATGACCCAAAAATAATGTTTATGTTAGAATGTTAGATCTAACATGTTTTCTAACATGTTTTCTAACATGGTCTAAAACATACAAAATTCATGAAATTTCATACGGAATTCAGCAAAAATAATGTTTATGTTAGAATGTTAGATCTAACCTCTTTTCTAACCTCTTTTCTAACATGGTCTAAAACATACAAAATTCATGAAATTTCATACGGAATTCAGCAAAAATAATGTTTATGTTAGAATGTTAGATCTAACATGTTTTCTAACATGTTTTCTACCCTCTTGAATTTTCATGATTTCATCGTAAATGTTTTGTCAAGACTTCTTCGTAAAGACTTTGTTGAGATTTCTTCGTAAAGTTCTTCATCGTAAAGACTTTGTAAAGTCTTTCTCATGAACTTTCTTGTCAATGTTTTGTTGAGACTTTGTAAAGTTCTTCATCGTAAAGACTTTGTAAAGAAAGTTCATGAAAATTCATGAGGTTAGAAAACATGTTAGAAAACGTGTTAGATCTAACATTCTAACATAAACATTATTTTTGTCTGATTTTACGAAGAAGTCTTGACAAAACATTTACGATGAAGAAGTCTTGACAAAACATTTACGATGAAGAAGTCTTGACAAAACATTTACGAAGAAGTCTTGACAAAACATTTACGATGAAGAAGTCTTGACAAAACATTTACGATGAAATCATGAGTTTTCTACGATGTTAGAAAACATGTTAGAAAACGTGTTAGATCTAACATTCTAACATAAACATTATTTTTGGGTCATTTACGCTCATTACGAAGAAGTCTTGACAAAACATTTACGATGAAATCATGAGTTTTCTACGATGTTAGAAAAGAGGTTAGATCTAACATTCTAACATAAACATTATTTTTGTCTGATTTTACGAAGAAGTCTTGACAAAACATTTACGATGAAGAAGTCTTGACAAAACATTTACGAAGAAGTCTTGACAAAACATTTACGATGAAGAAGTCTTGACAAAACATTTACGAAGAAGTCTTGACAAAACATTTACGATGAAGAAGTCTTGACAAAACATCCTCAGGGCTAGAAGGCACGAAGTGCCTGGAAGCCCCACTACCTTTTTTTTTTTTTTTTTTTTTTTTTTTTTTTTTTATGGTGTGTATATCATTAAATATATTTTGACCAACAGGTATTTGACACTCATATTTTAATAACAATAAAATGTATCCAATGTGAGAGGCTTTTATTATTGAGATTTGAAACTTGAGGTCTCGGAATTCTTCTCTCTGAACTTTCCTTCAATCAAAAATAAAGATATCAGAATTCTACAATAGAATGATCTCCAAGAATCTATGCTTTTAACTTATAAAATCTAATCAGAGACATATGTGTGGCATATCCGATTATTATAAAATGAGATGTATAACATTAAATATATGAAATACTGTATTTTGAATGTTTATTCATGAAATAAAACCCTGATTCAATTAGAGTTAGTCCTTCTTCATCAAACTATCTGATATAATTCAATTATTAGCTTTTCTTCCTTGTGTTTCACAGGAAATTATATAATTTGATTTCAACAGCATTGAAACAACGTATTATGTACATATATTTTACTTGGATAAAGAAATAATAACAAATGATTGAAAGAACAAAAAAGGAAGATTTTTGAAATTTATTTTCTTTCTGTTGACATATATAATTTCAGTTTCTTCTTCATTCTTTGGTTCAGGAATAACAAATTCACATGTTAAATTTGGATATTCTATTTTGAATGGATTTGCTTCATTGTTTGTGAAATAAACATCCCAAGAATAAGGAATACTTTCATCAATGTAACATCCATCAATTGTAATATTGCCTCCCGCAACTTGGTAAAAATAACACGTTCTGCCTGTGTTATTGATGAAACTACAATTAACTACATAAGCATATGCATATTCAGAACTTACTATTGTACTTAAATTGTTACTTAAGTAGTTACATGATTTAATCAAAAATGTTTCTGATGAATCACCAAAATAATAAGTATAAGTTGTTTTATCAGTATTATTACTAAATGTTGAAAATGATGCTCTGGATAAAGATTTATATCTCCATATAACAAATAAACTATTTTCATATAAATCAGTATAAGAAATATTTATAGAATTTATTTCAATTTCTCCATTATTTAGACAAATATTTCCTCCTTCATTATCTTTATATAAATTTCCGCTTTCAGAAATAATAGAATTAAGAATTTTATTCTTATATTTAGCAATATCACTGACATCAACTAAGCAATACATAAATCCTTGAACAGAATTAGAATTTAATCTACAAATTGGATTTTGGACACATTCGCCTTCTGTGGAGAAGTATAAGCTTCCTACTCCTCCTTTAATATTGGAGCAGTTATTAAAATTTGTTGTTTCAATAAGAGTTTTTGTTGTATCTTTCGAAGTCGTAAAGCTAATGGCACCTTCTGTGAGTAATGTGCCAAAATTACAAAAACTGATGTAATAATTCTGATCTTCTGAACTAAGCTTTTGGCTTTTCGAAGAGTATTTTGTTCTTTGTTCTGAACTTTGGAAAAATTCTGTCCAATCTTGATGAAACAATACTAGTATTATATCTTTCTTGTGTCATTTCAAAATGGTTGCTGATTGTTTGAAATAATGAAGTTAAGATTGTTCTTCGACTGGAAACTAAAAAGTGAAGTAAACTCCAGAAAATAAACTGCTCGTCAAACAGCGCAGATCCAATCAGAATTTTGAGGCAACTCATACAATTAATTCTATGAGTTTAATAATTTTGCTTATGACAAATTTATCATTAGATGCAAAAATAATCATATGCTAGAGAATTACACTTTCCCTACATTTTTTGGGTCGCTTCGTGCCCCTGACAAAATACCGGAAAAGCGAAAATTTAGTTTTTGACAAATTTCAGAACTTCGAAAAAAAAAAGAGTTCAGAAATTCAAAACCATCAATTGGGTACTTTCAGAGACTCTGTTTGTCAGAAAGTCTACGTTTGTAAACTTTCTGACGCAATTTTTTTGACCTATCAAAGTTTTTGACATTGTGGGTGTTTACGTCAGAAAGTACTCAAACTATTTTTTTTATCAATCTTTTATAAACAAATAATCAATTTATAATCTAACAAAACAATATTAAATCAAATTACTAAAGTCTTCTTCTTCTTCGAATGATTCAACATCCAAATAGTTGTATTCAGAAACAAAGAAATCTTTCAGAATTGTAGCAAAAGCATTATCATTAATATAAGCGAAGTCCAGGATCTCATTCAACAAAGAGTCAATTTCTGATTCATAATCAAGTAAAAAGTCAAGAAACACTCTAATTATAGAAATTCTTTTTGAAATGATTGCCCATTGCAAAGGAGTTTTTCCAGTTCTATCTATTGGATTATACTCTCTATTTTTAACCTTAGAAAGAAGAGCTCTTACTAATTCTTCAATTCCTGTTTTCGCTGCCAAATGAAGTGGAGTAATTCTTTTTGAATTTTGACAAATTGGATCTGCACCGTTTTCAAGTAGGAAAATCGTTAAATTGATATCTCCTTTCTTAACTGCTAAGTGTATTGGATAGTTTCCACTCTTAGTTGGTATCATTGGAACGTGATTTTTCGCAAGATATTCTAATAACTGGAAACGATTGCTTTTGATAGCTTTGATGTAGTAGGATTTAGAACGTGTTTGATTGTATTCCATTCCGATATCAAATAAGAAGTCTACAACTTGAAATTGTTCATTAAAAAGTGCAAAATCGAAAATGGTGTAATTCTGATAGTTAGTAGTGTATAGAGAACAACCATGAACCCAAAGATAATGACATATATTTAAGTAACCGTATTTTGCGGCGATATGAAATGGAGTTTTGAGATTTTTCGATTTGGCATCAAAATTGATACCATATTTATATAATGTTTGAAATACTTCGATGTTTTTCGAGTAAACTGCAAAATGAGCTGCAGTTCTATTTCGATAATCAACATGTTTCGAAAGTTGTGCGTCATTGAGGAAGAAATTTAGACATTCAAGAGAACCATAAAAAGCTGCTGCATCTACAAACGTTGGTGACTTTGTCAATTGCTTTGGTAATTTTGGAACATTTGTTAAAAATGGATTAACTGTATAATACTCGCGTAAAATATCTTCAACGGCTTCGACATCATCAGACTTAATAGCTAAATGAATCCTATTTTGAGCCTCGGGTTCTAAAGTCATCAAAAATTTTTTTTGTCAAAATTTTTTTGAAGAGACAGAAAATTTCGACAAAATAATTTGCTATGATAAACAATTCTACACATATTGATTTAATTTCCTTTCCAATTGAATATTTATTCAAATTTATTGAGAGAATGGCGAATTTCTTCCAAATGACGATCCAGAACAAGCTAGATTCCTCGCAGCTGTTAAGTAAGGTCAAGTTCCTCGTGAATTGATGAATGGCCATCAAACTGTTGCTGTCGAAGTCGATGAACAGTGTGAAAAAGATTTCAAGGCTCAGCCAAAGTCATTTAATCCATTCTAGGACAAGGCACATTCAATCGGTGATGGTACAGCTAGATCAGCACAAGATGCAATCGAATGGATTCGCTGCTGGTGGCGAATAAACAACAAAACTTCGCATTCTCCTTCCATATAGATTGGTCCTTACACTTTCTGTTAATTCTTCTTCTACAATTGGAGACGTGAGGAATTATATCTCTCAATTGAGCCCACAACTCAGACAATCCACATTAAAATTACGCGTTGCAGTTCTACCAAGAGAACTTAATGATAATTCTGCAACAGTTCTATCTGAAGGCTATAAGATGGCTCAAATACAATTTTTGTAAATAAATCTTATGATATATATTATCTTTTCTTCATTGTGTTTCACAGGAAATCATAGAATGAGATTATAAAAATATGATTTCAAAAGGTATAGAAACAATGAGTTATGTTGATGTTTTACTTCTTTCGAGAAACAATAACAAATGATTGAAAGAACAAAAAATGAAGATTTTTGAAGATTCAGTTTCTTCTTCATTCTTTGATTTAGGAATATCAAATTCACATGTTAAATTTGGAAATTCTATTTCGATCGGATTTGGTTCATTGTTTGTGAAATAAACATCATTAGTTAAAGGAATATTTTCATCAATGTAACATCCATCAATTGTAATATTATCTGACAAAATTTGGTAAAAATAACACGTTCTACCTGTGTGATAGGCTTAAAATTTTTCCACATTCTCCAGTATTCACAACAAATTAGAGAAGAAATCAACATCCAATTCCAACTCGAAACACTCAAGTACAGCATGAAGTCTTCTTCTTCGAATGATTCAACATCCAAATAGTTGTATTCAGAAACAAAGAAATCTTTCAGAATTGCAGCAAAAGCATTATCATTAATATAAGCGAAGTCCAGGATCTCATTCAACAAAGAGTCAATTTCTGATTCATAATCAAGTAAAAAGTCAAGAAACACTCTAATGATAGAAATTCTTTTTGAAATGAGCGCCCATTGCAAAGGAGTTTTTCCAGTTCTATCTATTGGATTATACTCTCCATTTTTAACCTTCCTCCTTTTCATATGGTATTGGAGCAATTATTAAAATTTGTTGTTTCAATAAGAGTTTTCGTTGTATCTTTCGAAGTCTTAAAGGAAATGACACCTTCTGTGAGTAATGCGCCAAAATTACAAAAACTGATGTAATAACTCAAATTTATTGAAAAAATTAATTTAATTTCTTCCGAATGACGATCCATTAAAAGCTAGATTCCTCGCAGCAGTTAAGCAAGGTCAAGTTCCCCGTGAATTGATGAATGGTCACCAAGTTATCGATGTCGATGAACAGTGTTAAAAAGATTTTAAGGCTCCACCAAAGCCATTTAATCCATTCCAGGACAAGGGACCAGCTGCAATCGATTCGCTTATGGTGGCGAACAAACAACAAAACTTCGAGTTCTTCTTTAAGATAGATCGTTTCTTACACTTACTGTTAACATTTCTGCTACAATTGGAGAAGTAAAGAATTATATCTCTCAATTGAGCCCACAACACAGACCATCCACATTAAAATGATAATTCTGCTACAGTTCAATCTGAAGGCTTAAAGATTGCCCATATCCAAGTTTTGTAAATAAATCTTGTGATATATATTATATCTTAAAATTATATCATTCATGTGACATATCTAATTTTTGAAAATGAGAAACTTGCAATAAATTGTGTGGATATTTCCAAAATGACCTCATTCTACATTGTATAACTTTAAAAATATGAAATATTGTAACTTGAATGTTCATTCATGAAACAAAACCCCTAGACAATTAGAAATAGACCATTTCAATCAAACCTACTGATAGAATTCTTATTATCTGTTATTCATTGTGTTTCATATAAAATCATAGTTTTCAAAAGCATGAACAAAACGAATTATATTGATATATTTTACTTCTTTCGAGAAATAATAACAAATGATTGAAAGAACAAAAAAGGAAGATTTTTGAAGATTCTTTTCTTTCTGTTGAAATATATGATTTCATTTTCTTCTTCGTTCTTTGATTTAGGAATTTCAAATTCACATGTTAAATTTGGAAATTCTATTTTGAATGGATTTGTTTCATTGTTTGTGAAATAAACTTTTCCTTCTTTTTTAGGATTACTTTCATCAATGTAACATCCATCAATTGTAATATTACCTAGACCATCTGAACCTTGAAAAAAATAATATTCTCTACCTGTGTTATTGATGAAATTACAATTAACTACATTAACATATGCATTATTAGCACTTATTATTACATGCAAATTGTTACTTAAGTAGTTACATGACTCAATCAATAATGTTTCAGGTGAATTATAAAAATATACATCATTAAAAATGTCTTGATATGTATCAGTATTATTACAAAATGTTGAAAATGATGCTCGCGATGGAGAATTATAGTACCATATAGCAAATAAACTACATATATATAAATCAGTATAAGAAATATTTATAGAATTTATTTCAATTTCTCCATTTACTAGATTAATATTTACTGCTCTATCTTTATATAAATTTCCGCTTTCAGAAATAGAAGAATTTAATATTTTATTCTTATATCCAACAATATTACTGACATCAACCCAACAATACATCGTTCCACTAGCAGAATTAGAATTTAAACTACAAATTCGATTTTGGACACATTCACCATCTACGAAGAAGTATAAGCTTCCTCCCCAATTTTCAGTATTGGAACACTTATAAAAATCAGTATCTTCAATAAGAGCTTTCGTTGTATCTTTCGCAGAACAATAGTAAATGGCACCTTCTGTTATCAATGCGCCAAAATTACAAAAGCTGATGTAATAACTCTGATCTTCTATAATAAGTTTTTGTTTTTCCGTATAGTATTTTGTTCCTTGTTCTGAATTTGGGAAAAACTCTGTCCAATCTTGATGAAACAATTCTTGTATTATATCTTTCTTGCATCATTTCAAAATGATCGTTGATTGTTTGAAATGATGAAGTTAAGATCGTTCTTCGACTCGAAACTAAAAAAAGTGAATTAAAAATGTAAACTTCAGAAAAAAAGTTTATGACAAATTTTAAGGCTGGCGTGATGGGTCATTGAATTTTAACCTTAAACAATAGAGGCATAATCCGAATTTTTTTCAATAAGAATGTATAGGAAAACGATCTAAAGTCCTAAGATACAACTAACTTATCCTCAATGACAAGGTCTGAAAAAAAAGGTTCCCTTAATACAAAATGAACCATGACATATGTGAAGCAACTATGTATATATTTTCACATTTTCGTACTTATTAATCATATACATTCTTTTGTTTTAATCAAATTTGTTGAAACATTGGGGCAGTTGCCATTAAACATATACTAATTTTTCCAAATTGTAACACAAAAGAGAAAGACAAAAGAAAGAATATCAAATACTTCATGATTTTACAATGAAGTCATGGAAAAGTTTTTTTTTGAACAATTTACATGTCAAAAAAATTTCCTCCATTTTTTTAATATCATGGATTTCACTTATTACCCGACCAATGTCATTTATAACACGCATTCTCCTAATCAAAACAAATGTATCAATCCAGAAGCGAAGTCTATTGCAAATACAATTAACGATGGCGTAGATTTTAATAGATTTAAAGTATCATTTATAAATCGTTTCCAAGTACCGCCTAATTTCATAGGTACTATCAGTGATAGGCTCAAAAATTTTCCACAGCCTCCAGTATTCTCAGCAAATCAGAGAAGAAATCAACATCCAATTCCAACTCGAAACAGTCAAGTCCAGCATGTACGCGCTCCTCCGATTCCAGAAGGACCTCCTATAAATATAAGTGCACAAGAAGTAGAAAGTCTCCTTAAAGCTAGATTTAATTGCACACATGCTAAAGATTTTTTAAAGTTTGCTAGAAGTGCAGGAAATAGAATAAATGTAGGATTCCGCGCAACTAAAAAAGCTGATACAATTCAATGGTTACAAAATAATTGGTCACAAATTAATCAAGTTTTAGATGATTTAGAAGTTTAACGCCTTATATTAGTTATAAATTTGTTAGTCGTTTTGTTTTAAAAGTTCTATTTTACAATTTTTTTTGCTCATAAAAAATACCAAATTGCTTTCAGGTTAATACCAATCGAACTTTGATATACGTTTTGAATATTTCTATATTTTAATGTAACTGTATATATATCGATCCATATGAAATTGGAAAAATCTTGTCTTTTCTTTGTTTAAGATGAAATCATCAACATCTGATATACAAATGGGATGCAATATTCAGAACTTTATACGAAATCTTTCTACTCATAGATAATATTAAAGATATTTTTTTTTGATCAATTCAGATCAAATAACTCTAATATTATATAATGGTTCTAGTAACCTAATTTATTGTTCGGAGATAAGTCCATATGCTAGGATATTGGCTATACTGATTTGAGATGTTAAAAATTATCAATCCATGGAAAGAGAACTATCAATACTCAAGTAAAAAAGTACAAAAACTCACTACATTTATTGATATTATTATATGATTTGATATTTTAGATAAAATTTGTATAAATAAACATTAAATCATATCTAATCCTCATATCTAAGTGAAGTTGATTTGATCCATGCACATGTGAAAACAGTTTTTAAGAAAATTAAATTATAAAAAAATCTTTTATTCATTTTCGACATCTTCAAGCTTCTTATCTGACTCTGGGAATGTTTCATTTGTTAATACATTATCATCCTCAGAGTTATTAAGTAATGTTTCAAGGTGATCTTCTTCTTCTCTCTTTGTAATCTCCTTTTGAAGTCTCTCGCGCTTCTTGTCATCCAATTCGAAGACTGTGTATGTAATTGTTCCTCCGAGACCGAAAAGAAGACCGATAATCTTCTTGATTGTTTGTTCCTTTGTAGCGCCATCGTTTCTATCGATAAAGATGAGGCCGATAGCGAAGATAAGGATTGTCTTTGCGTGGCCAACGACTTGATATGTAACAGCGGATGTTTTTCCGATCAAAGCGAAAGCGGCGATGTTAGCACCGACAGCGAGAAGGCCTGTAAGGAGGATAAGAATAATCTCAACTGGCTGGTAATCGTGTTTGAGGAAAGATTTTTCTCCGAAAGTTTCGAGACAAAGTGTTGAAATGCCTGCGAAGACAATCATTGGGATAGCTGTAATGTGCTGCATGGCAGAACCAAAGACTTGGAATCTGTTAGAGTAGACATTTGTACTCATTTGAGAGGCTGTTGTGAAACAGACGGCAATAACGGCATAAATCGAGCCGAGCAAGTTAATTGTAACATCGTTGACGGAGAATAATGCAATGCCGCATAAGAGAACAGCTAAGCAGCAGAGGGTACGGAATGGAGTCTTCTTGCTATAGATTACGTAGTTAGCAAGGACGATAACTGGGATGCAGCAAAGCTTGGATAATTGATAGAAGCCCATAGAGTTGATTAAGAGGTTGAAATTCATAAAAACAATACCGGAAACGTTAACGAATGCATTGATCCATCTGGCGTTTTGTGGAACTGTGGTTGCACGCTCGAAGAGGTTCATTCTGCACATGACTTCTAACAAGGCCCAAGTGCATATGAAATGGAATGTGGAAAGAGCAACTGGATAATTGAACTGGTAGACATTCTTAAGTGTTTTATTTAATGTGATAAGAGATGTTGAGAAAACAATGGATGCTATAATCCAGAATTGTGTTCCAAGTTGCATCTTTTTTTTTATGAAATCATGGTTCCGAATTTCAACGATTCAGAATATTTTAATGACAATATATTGATATTAAACTTAAATGGATTTTGTTTATCATGGAAAACAATTGAAAGCTGACTCTGAACTTTCAAGCCCATAACAGTTAACGAGCGAAAAAAATTCTCCATAAACTAATTATTTGAAAACATCATGTTATGGAGTCGATATTTTGCGCGTAAAAATCAAACAATAATGTATACACATGTTTTGATATTATTATTTCCGTTTTGAGCCTCAATTACTTTGAAATTTGAGAGTTACGCGGAAATATAAAAAGATAATCATAACGAACTTTTAAACTTCAAATTTTAAGGTGATAATAACACAATATTGCAAACAGATATAATAATTAACTAGATATTGATGGTTTCTTGATCGAATTTTTTTTTTCATAAAACTGACAATATCAGGGGAGAAGAAAATGGATGACTTTTCTTTTCGCCGCCTGAGAGAAATGGATGATTTAACATATAACCAAGCATACGACCGACCAAAAAAATTCCGTTCTGCCAGCGCTCGCCGTGAAAATACTCCACGTACACCTTCATCAGCACGACAAACAAATTATTTACCAAGCGGAAGAGATTTTAATGCTATGCAAGGAGCAGAACTTCGTGAACAGGAATATGTTTTAGATCAAAAAATGAAACTTATCACTGAAAATAAAGCATTGCAAGATGAGGTGAATTCGTTACAAAAAAGATATGACAGATTGCAACAACGAAATAGTAGTAAAATGGAATCTGACCGTATTTATGCTGGTATGTTTTCAGATGAACCCGATCGAATTTATCAAAATATCGAACAACGTGAAATGACAGCAGAAATTGTAAAAATGCAAAAAGAATCACAAGAACTTGCTAATAGAATCAGTTATCTTCAGCGTGAATTCTCTGCAAACAATTTAGCAGATTTAAAGGTTGAAGTTCGACAGTCTCTTCAACGATACAACGAGAAATTAGAGAAATTTAGAAATACACAAGCTGAACTACAGTTCGTTCAACGTCAAATTGAAGAGTTTAAACTTGGAATGCTTTATGAATCTGTTACAGAACAGAGAGAAATCATTCCAGACCTCAAAAACCAACTTACTAGACAAAAAGCTAAATATAAACGTAATAAACAAGATATACAAGAACTCGAAACAGCTCAACAAGGTCAAAAAGTTCAACTTAGAGGCGAAGTACAAAGAAGTCCAAAGGTAATTAAACTCCAACAAGAACTTAAAGATAAGGAGAAGAAATATAAGCAAAAGACTCAAGAATTAAGTAAATTATTAATGGACAATAGACAAGAAGTCAATAACGAAAGAGCGAAGCTTGCATTAGAAGCCTACAAACAACAGAATACAGAAAAACGTACATCTCCACCAGCTAACTTTGTTATTTACGTCAGTCCAATTTCTGATGAAATAACGGCTAAAGGCCTTAAACTAGTTTTCCGTGAATTTAATGTCCATAGTGTTGGAATTAAAGATCACGTTGCTAGACTTAAATTCCAAGTCAAAAGGAACGCGCAAGCTGCAATTGATCGTAAAAACGGTTCAAGTCTTGCAGGAAAACAGATTTTGGTTTCATGGGACAAGCCACGTACAGATTTCACTGCGCCATCCTCTACACGTTCAGAAAAGTCTTCAAAGAGCAAATCTCTTCAACCAACAGATTTCAACTCCGAACCATCAGATTTCGACGAGAAAGAGAGACAAGCAAGTTCATCATCGGCAAGAAAGAGCAAGGAAACACCCAGAAAAGAGAAGAAACAAGAGGAACCTCCAAAGAAACCAGAAAATCTCGGAGAAATACTCAGAGACGCTTTCAAAGAAGAAAAGAAGCCTGAAGAAAAGAAACCTGAGGAGCCAAAGAAGGAAGAAGAGAAACCGAAGAAAGAATCTTCATCTGATAAAGAAGAATTTAAGTCTTCATCATCTTCAAAGAAATCAGATAAGAAGTCTGATAAGAAATCAGATTCTTCATCATCAAAGAAGGAAGAAAAGAAGGATGATTCATCTTCATCGTCCTCATCTTCAAAGAAATCTGACAAGAAGAAGGAAGAAGAAGAGAAAATCGAGGAAGAAATAGTTTTAGATGAACCTGAAATTGACGATAAGCCAAAAGAAGAGGAAAAGAAGCCAGAATCAACAAGTTTAAGAGATTTCGTACAAAAGAAGATAGAGCCAGAGAAAGAGAACAAAGTTGAATCATCACAAGGCTTCGACTCTTCATCAGACAAACCTAAAGAAGAAGAAAAAGAAGTCAAACTCGATTCATCATCTTCATCTTCATCAAAGAAGGAAGAACAGAAGCCAGATTTAAGCTTAAGTAATGTAATCAACAAGAAACTCGAAGCTCCTGAAGAAAAGAAGAACGATGACGCATTTAATTCTTCATCATCTTCATCTTCTTCAAAGAAAGAACCAAAGAAGGAAGAAGAAGTTCCTAAATTAAGTCTTGTTGATGCTGTCAATAAAAACATCGAGCCTCCAAAGCAAGAAGAAGAAAAGAAAGACGCATTTGACTCATCTTCTTCGTCTTCATCATCTTCAAAGAAATCTCCAAAGAAGGAGGAAGAGAAACCAAAGGAAATCGAAGAAGACATCAATTTTGAGTCATTACCAGAAGAAAAACCAAAGGAAACTCCTAATTTGAGTCTCAGAAACATAATTATTGACAATTTAGCCAAACCAGAAAAGATGCCAGAAGAAAAACCAGAAGAAGTCAAACCAAAAGAAATCGAACCACCAAAACCAGCTGAAGAACCAAAGAAAGAAGAAGATGTTAAACTTAAATCTTCATCTTCATCATCTTCAGTTAGTATCAAAGATAAGGAAACAAGTTCTTCAAGTTCTTCTTCATCTGATGACGAAAAAGAAGAAGAAAAACCAAAGGAAGAAGAAAAGAAACCAGAAGAACCTCCTAAACTCGGTTTCAGAGACTTAGTTACAAACAATCTCAAACCAGAAGAGAAACCAGAAGAAAAAGAAATCAAAGTCGAAGAACCACCAAAAGAAGAAGAAAAGAAGAAATCATCATCTTCAAGTTCATCAAGTTCTTCAGATGATGAAAAGCCAAAAGAAGAAGAAGAAAAACCAGTTGAAGAACCTCCTAAACTAGGATTCAGAGATTTGGTTACAAACAATCTCAAACCAGAAGAGAAACCAGAAGAAAAATCAGTTCCACCTCCATCATTTGATTCATCATCAGATCAAGACATTGAAATTGAAAGTGAACATGATGAACCACCAAAAGAAGAAGAAAAGAAGAAATCATCATCTTCAAGTTCATCAAGTTCTTCAGATGATGAAAAGCCAAAAGAAGAAGAAGAAAAACCAGTTGAAGAACCTCCTAAACTAGGATTCAGAGACTTAGTAACAAACAATCTCAAACCAGAAGAGAAACCAGAAGAAAAATCAGTTCCACCTCCATCATTTGATTCATCATCAGATCAAGACATTGAAATTGAAAGTGAACATGATGAACCTATTAAAGAAGAAGAGAAGAAGAAATCTTCATCTTCAAGTTCATCAAGTTCTTCATCAGATGACGAGAAAGGAAAAGAAGAAGAGAAGAAACCAGAAGAAAAACCAGTTGAAGAACCTCCTAAACTAGGATTCAGAGATTTGGTTACAAATAACCTTAAACCAGAAGAGAAACCCGAAGAGAAAGAAATCAAACCAGAAGAACCTCCTAAACAAGAGGAACCAAAGAAGAAATCATCAACTAGTTCAAGTTCTTCTTCATCTGATGACGAAAAAGAAGAAGAAAAACCAAAGGAAGAAGAAAAGAAACCAGAAGAACCTCCTAAACTCGGTTTCAGAGACTTAGTTACAAACAATCTCAAACCAGAAGAGAAACCAGAAGAAAAAGAAATCAAAGTTGAAGAACCACCAAAAGAAGAAGAAAAGAAGAAATCATCAAGTAGTTCTAGTTCAAGTTCTTCGGATGATGAAAAGCCAAAAGAAGAAGAGAAGAAACCAGAAGAAAAACCAGTTGAAGAACCTCCTAAACTTGGCTTCAGAGACTTAGTAACAAACAATCTTAAACCAGAAGAGAAACCAGAAGAAAAGTCAGTTCCTCCTCCATCATTTGATTCATCATCTGACAAAGAAATCAAAATTGAAAGTGATCATGAAGAAGAGAAACCTAAAGAAGAACCAAAGAAGGAAGAAGAGAAGAAGAAATCATCAAGCTCTTCATCATCTTCTTCAAGTTCATCATCATCAGATGAGAAAGAGAAAGAAGAAGAAAAGAAAGAAGAATCTTCAATGTCTGATATCGATATTGAAATAGAAAGTGACAAAGAAGAAGAAAAGCCAAAAGAAGAAGAAGCAGAACCAAAGAAGAAATCATCATCAAGCTCTAGTTCATCAAGTTCTTCTTCCGATGATGAAAAGGAAGAAAAGCCTAAGGAAGAAGAGCCAAAGAAAGAAGAAGAGAAACCAAAGGAAGAACCGAAGAAAGATGATGAACCAGAACTCCTCTTTAATGAGATTCAGCCGAACAACAATCCACCTCGGCTGAATCTCAAGAATCTTTTTCTTGGCCAACCTAATACATCTCCACATCAACAGCCCTCGCCAAAGGAGGAGGAGAAGAAGGTGGGGCTAGAAGAAAGAGATTTCAAACCACAAGAAGAACCAAAGAAAGAAGAAGAGCCTCCTAAACAAGAAGAAAAGAAGAAATCATCATCATCAAGCTCATCTAGCTCATCAAGTTCTGATGATGAAAAAGAGAAACCAAAAGAAGAAGAGCCAAAGAAAGAAGAAGAACCAAAACTTGGTTTGAGAAGTGCAATTACAGATCCTCTTGAAAAACCTCAAGAAAAACCAGTAGAAAAAGTTGAAGAATCATCTGGATCTGATATTGAAATAGAATCATCAGATGATGAAGACAAGAAGAAAGAAGAAGAGAAGCCAAAGAAGAAATCAAGTTCTAGTTCTTCTAGTTCTTCTTCTGATGACGAAGATAAGAAGAAGAAAGAAGAAGAAAAACCAAAGAAATCAAATTCAAGTGATTCTCTTTCCAATTTTGCATCCGATGTCGATAAAGATGTCGAAGTCAAGAAATCTGAATCAGAGAAAGAAGAAGAGAAACCAAAGAAGAAATCATCAAGTTCTTCATCAGATGACGAAAAAGAAAAGCCAAAAGAAATAACACAACCTCCTGCTCCTCAACAAAACAACTCTCCTCGTCTTGGCCTTCGTAATTTAATTGTAAATCCACCACAAAAACCTCCAGAAGAACCAAAACCTGTTGAACAACCCAAACCAGCAGAAGAACCAAAGAAGAAATCATCAAGTGATTCTTCTGTTAGTTTCGATACTGATTCTTCTGATGATCAAATACCAAGGAAGAAATCTTCTTCATCAAGCTCTTCTAGTTCTGATTCTGATTCTAAAGAAAAAGTTGCAGAAATCAAGAAAGAAGAAGATAAAAAGCAATCATCTGATTCAGATTCTGACATAATAATAGCTTCAGATTCTGATTCTGATGAAAAACCAAAGAAGAAATCATCAAGTTCTTCATCCGATGACGAAGAAAAACCAGTCAACAACAAAGTTGAAGAAGATTTCAAGCCAAAGACAATTTCAGACAAATTAACTCCTGAAGAAAAGCCGAAACCATTCTCTTCATTATTATCTCCAATGGTGAATGAACCGAAGAAGGAAGATCCACCAAAATTGGAGGTAAAACCACGCGAAGTTGATAATTTGCTTGAAGACAAACCAAAGGAAGATAACAACATGTTACCTGCTTTCCAACATAAAGACGAGAAATCTGATGACGAAAAGCCAAAGGAAAAATTAGAAATTAAAGATACAGAAATTAACAATTTGTTAGAGAAACCTAAGGAACAACCTAAACCAATGGCTTCTTTGCTTGGAGGAATGTTCCAAAGCAAACCTAAACAAGAAGAACAACCGAAATTGGAAGTCAAACCACGAGAAATTGACAATTTATTAGAAAAACCAAAAGAAGAAGAAAAGAAGAATGAATTGTTGTTTAAACCAACACCAAAGGAAGAAACAAATGCAGACTTAAGCATTAAACCAGATATGCATGATGCTGATAAGAAGCTAGAAGCCAAAACAGAAGATAATAACATGTTGGCTGCATTTTCACATGAAAATGTTGAAAAGAACAAATCTGACGACGAAAAAATGCTTCCTGCTTTTGAACATAAAGATGAACAAGTCAAAGAAAAGGAAGCACCGAAGAAACCAAACGTTTCGTTTGTTATACCAGAAGAAGATAAGAAGAAGGATGAAAAGAACTCAGACTCTTCATCTTTCATGGATTTCGATTCTGATTCCGATGAAAAGAAAGATAAGAAGGAAGAAAAGAAGGATTCTTCATCAGATGCAAGCATAGAAATTGATTCTAGTGATGAATACTTCTAATCATGCTTGAATTATTTTATATTTCTTATATTTTTATTGTTATTTATAAAAAAATTTAATTCTAAATTAAAACTAATACATATCATTCAAAAGTGCATCCAATTCTACAAGTATTTCCTTTCGCGGTATAAAAAACTAAAAAAATCATTTCAAAACTATAAAATTTCGTTTAACACTTAAATTGATCAATTGATCATCAGTGCATAGATAGTATGCATTGATGATGCAATTTCAGCGTTATTAACAGCGACCAAACATGAGAAAATTTGATTTTATTTGGGGAAAATTATGCAATTATATGTAATTAAAGAAACATATGTTCCATTAATATAATAATCTAATTCTGATACAATATGGTCGCTGACTCATTGATGGAAGTTTGATTGTTTTTTTCTTTGGCATATTTAGATATTTTACTAGATAGAGTAATTATATACATGACATTATATAATAATTTTATCTTAAAAAGTGCCAACTTTAATTTTGTTGGGGATTATCATCAAATCCTTTCTAACAAAATTCCAAAAATCTACGATCATTAGTCCTGAACCGAAATTCAGTATTGACAAACTAATAATAAATCAGATCGGCCTTTTTCCAGTAGGAACATCAAAATTCAGAGGCCGATCAAAATACATTGAAATCTTATGACCGAGATTGCATTCAATCAATGACCTAACCTTTTCTCAATTTAAAATCTTTACCGCATTTATCATTCTCAATTTAGATGCTTAAGATTAAATCATGTTTAGTATAGGATGATTAACAATAAAAACATATTTGAGGAATAAATTTTCTGTACCGCGAATTTGATACATTGTTTGGCCAACTTTTTGTAAACAATCAAAATCATTTTTTTCTTAGCGATGTTAAACTACTTTGCTCCATCATCTCTCTCAGTCCCAATCATCAGTGGCCCATCACAGGTTGATCAACAGAAGATCAAGCACAGACACAACAAGTGGTCTCCTTCTGAAGATGAAAAATTAAGATCACTCGTCATTTCATCAAACAAGCTTAACTGGCGCTTGATTGCCCTCAACATTCCAAACAGAAATGCCAGACAGTGCCAGGAAAGATGGAACTACTACCTTTCTCCAAATGTCAACAATGGCGAATGGACAAAGGAGGAAGATGAACTTCTCTATGAGAAATACAGAGAATTCGGAACCAAATGGCAACAGATTGCTAAGTTCTTCCGTGGCAGAACAAACACAAACGTCAAGAATCGTTTCCTTGCTCTCGAAAGAAAGGCTCAGAGACTCGAAAGTGCCTCATCTTCATCCTCATCAGAAGATAACATTGAGTCAGCATCTCCAGCTCCAAAGTTCATTATTCCTTCGATTCTTTCTCTCGGAGTCAGCTTTCCATCAGATTTCTCACTTCCAATCCGCAATTAAGATATTATATTAGATATTATGTTCGTACATTGCTTCAAACTTGTTATTTATATACTACAACAGGTTTGATTGTTTTACGAACGCCTTATATTATGTATTTTTATATTAGTTTATTATTTATTATGCTTATTATTAAGCATTACTTATATTAAACCTTTTCTATCCCCTTAAAATCAATCCCAGATTTTTTTTTGTTATAGACCGAAAATAGATTTTTTCGGTTTTCTCTTCAAATAATTGAAAGAATGATACTATTATAGGTTTATTATATTATATAGCATATAATCATGCTATAGCCGAAAATTATAAGTTTTGAGAAGATTGAATATAACACAAATAAATTTGAATGTAAGTTAAATTGCTTGTTGTTTTTAATAGCTATTTAATGAGAAATCCAATATTGCAAAATTCAAATTGAATGATTGAAAGAACAGAAAAAGTCATTCTTTTCAATTTCGAATATGTTTCATTGTATTTATAATTATATGGCAAATAAGATATTTAAACTTGATTTTGAAGGAAAATTCACAAAATTGAATAAATTCAAATAATTTTTATTCAAAAATAAACTAGTTATTTGAGTTTAATACTAATTATCTATTCAAACTACAAAGTTTGTAATTTAAAATATTTTGTGAGATCAGATTGAATTAATTCAAGGTTCTTTTCAATTAATATGAATGACCATATTACGCATTTTCGAACATTATAAACCAAATATATAAAAATGGAGACGAATGTTAAATTTGCTAGACATGGGGAGTTGTCTGCAAAGTTTTAGCTCTTATCTCTAACAAAAAATTAATTTTTAAAAAATGACCGAATACGTTTCACAGCGAGAAAAAAATAAAAGGCAAGATAGAATTTTCTAGACATAAAGAAGTTGTTTACCGAGTTTTAGCTCTTATCTCTAACAAAAAATTAATTTTTAAAAAAATGACCGAATACGTTTCACAGCGAGAAAAAAATAAAAGGCAAGATAGAATTTTCTAGACAGAAAGAAGTTGTCTACCAAGTGTCAGCTGTTACTTCTTCTTAATACTGATATAAAATAAAAATCTTTATTATTTATTTAACCTTTATTGTTTCATTAAACTTCATTTATTTTATATTATAGTTTTATTCTTTTAGCTACTTGTAAAATAATCTAATTTTATATCATCATTTTACCGGATTATTCTTCAGTGCATCGATTGTGTATCTAAAATAATATCATTATCCTTATTCTTTTTTTCCAAAATTCTTTTAAATATCTTTTTTGGTTAGATTACTTTATACTTTTTACTTTTATTTTTTAATTTCAAAAAAAATTTGGTGATTGTTCTATTCTGTTACAATGTGCATTATCATATTCTAATGAATTATTCATTACATACATTTAAAAAAACTTGTTAAAAATGAAATTAAAAAATTATGTTTATTATTACGCTGTGAATGTGTCAACAGCGGTCATGCCTGTATCTGTATCCCATATTTGCCACAACCTTTCTGTATCTGCATTTGTGTATTTCGGTTTCAGCTGATACATTTGATTTGGCGTGAAATTTGTTCCAGTGAATGGATTAATTGGGAGATCTTCATGCGGTGTGTTATTATTGTACTCCCAAATAAAGGCAGGAATAGCCTGAATGCTTTGGCAGCGCTCCAATGTCGGCCAGAATCTCTCAATCTTCCCATTTTGGTAGGGAGAATGAGAGTCTGTATGCCGCCATTGGACGCCCAAAGATCAAGTAGATCTTGAAAGGCGCCCCTATTTTCTGAACCGTTGTCGGTCCAGAAACAATAAGGGGCGCCAAATTCAATGAAGGCGGAAGCCGCAACGTTCGCTGTCGTCGCTGCCAGCATATCTGGTATTTGTATACACGCTAGGACTTTGCGGCTAAAATCGTCGATTATGCCATAAATATACTGGCCACAAACACCCTAAAATAATGAACATCTGCGTGCCAGATAAGATTGGGTGAAAGCACCCAATATCTTACTGCTGTTTCTAGCCCGGCATGCTCTAATCGCGTCTTGGTGAAATGATTTTCTTTGAAGTATCTGCGTACTTCTCTATAAGATACATCAATTTGTTGTAATTTCAAACGTTTCCATTGTTTTGTTTGACCACAGGAAAGGCCCAGTGGTCATGTATCACAGCAAGAGCTTTGATTTGGTCGTAGGGATTGACCCTACGACCTTTCTTGCCTTTAGGCAATGGGATATTCTGTAAGCTAAATTGATTTTGTAAAAAAGATTTTGAAACATCTAAATATTTGAAATCATTTGATTGAAGGGTTGGGGCGATGGGAACATGGGTGCAAGCTTCTTCCCATGTCATTTTACCTTCTTCAATCTGATTGGAAATACCAATTAGGTAAATTCGATCAACATACCCTTTGTAAGGATTCATTCTAATGAAGTACGTTAACAATCAAAATATTCTAGAAGTGTCTAGGATGGAATTCAAAAGAATAAAGAAAATGGTAACGTAAATAAACGTATTATGAAATAATTTATAATTAAAATGAAAAAAAGAAAAATAATAAGTAAAGTGACTGGAAATGAAAATGAAAATCAGTGTACAGTTTTATTTTTTTCTCGCTGTGAAACGTATTCGGTCATTTTTTTAAAAATTAATTTTTTGTTAGAGATAAGAGCTAAAACTCGGTAAACAACTTCTTTATGTCTAGAAAATTCTATCTTGCCTTTTATTTTTTCTCGCTGTGAAACGTATTCGGTCATTTTTTAAAAATTAATTTTTTGTTAGAGATAAGAGCTAAAACTTTGCAGACAACTCCCCCATGTCTAGCAAATTTAACATTCGTCTCCCATTTTTATATATTTTTATAATGTTCGAAAATGCGTAATATGGTCATTCATATTAATTGAAAAGAACCTTGAATTAATTCAATCTGATCTCACAAAATATTTTAAATTACAAACTTTGTAGTTTGAATAGATAATTAGTATTAAACTCAAATAACTAGTTTATTTTTGAATAAAAATTATTTGAATTTATTCAATTTTGTGAATTTTCCTTCAAAAATCAAGTTTAAATATCTTATTTGCCATATAATTATAAATACAATGAAACATATTCGAAATTGAAAAGAATGACTTTTTCTGTTCTTTCAATCATTCAATTTGAATTTTGCAATATTGGATTTCTCATTAAATAGCTATTAAAAACAACAAGCAATTTAACTTACATTCAAATTTATTTGTGTTATATTCAATCTTCTCAAAACTTATAATTTTCGGCTATAGCATGATTATATGCTATATAATATAATAAACCTATAATAGTATCATTCTTTCAATTATTTGAAGAGAAAACCGAAAAAATCTATTTTCGGTCTATAACACTCATTGATTATTTGAAAGGAAACATACAGGAATTTTGAGAACTAATTCAGCCATCGTTTCAATCGAATTGAATGCCTTGATTTTAGATTTCAGAGGACTACCGCTTATCAAATTCTGAGTATTAGACCAAACGATTACTATCGTTCTGATTTTATATGATTCTTTGCGAACACGTCATCAACTAAAATTAAAAACTATTATAGGGCCATAATGTACCATTTATCATTAATGATGAGATAAAAAATTTTTTCTGAAATTATTTTAATCAAAACTATCACGGTTTCAAAAATCATCATTAAATTTATTTAAAATATACATATAAACTTGTTATATTTTCAATATTTTCATATTCTATCATGATTATTTTCGAAATCTTTTAAAAGGTTGAATTAGCTAATAACCCATTGATATTTAATATTTCTATGAACTCAATGCTTAAATTTGATACTCAACATTGTTCAAACTCTATTCTTTAATGATGATATTCATTCAATACACTGGTTCAATCATACATCATATCTTACATGCATACTACAAACGCCATATAAATATTATATTTAGCGATCATTATTAATTAAAAAATAACTAAGTTATATACATGAAAGACTAGATTGTAATAAAATTATATAGAAACATATTTCAATAACTTGATTTTAAGAATCTCAATGAAGGGATGTATCATTTGGATTGCAATATGTAGATCTCTATACATTAATTTAGCAATTCATATTATTTTAACTAAAAAACAGAACAATGGGTCAAAATTATAAAAGAAAAGTCAATTAGTTCTCACATTCAAGCTGAGTAACAAAGAAACGAAATGAATATTCAACAAATGAGCAAAATCCTATTTGGTCAAGGTTCTTTGAGCTATATTTTTCATTTCTCTCTAAATTAGCAGCAGATATGCAAGTGCAAATAGTATAGTTACTCAAGATCCTTTCAGAAAAATTCGCTCATTTTTTCTCATACTTTTCTTGACAAATTGGAGTGACAACAAAAAGTGACATCCTACATATTTTTGAAAAAAATTATTTGAATGTATGGCCTTGTCAAGGGAATTGCAGAAGAATTATGGAATAAACTACATAAGAAAGCATCTGTTTTATTCCTCGGTATTGACGGCGCTGGAAAAACAACTTTAGTTGAAAAACTTTTAAAATATGCTGATCCCACTAGAAAAGAAAAGACAATTCTGCCCACATACGGGCTAAATTCCGAAGACATATCAAAGGATTCGACTATATTGCGATTTTGGGACTTAGCTGGAAAACCTATGTTTCGAAATGTCTGGAAAAACTATATAAATGACGCTGACATACTAGTATACGTCGTAAATGGCTCCCAGATGGAGCGAATCCACGAAAGTCGAAAGGCTTTCGACGAAATTTATACAGAATTTAAAGGCGTTCCGTTAATAGTTTTTTTGAACGCTGATCCAAGTATAATTAATAGTTTCCCTTCAGCTCACTTATGCACACACTTTTTTATCGATGTTTCAAAAATCGATGAATTAGGAAAATTATTTTCTCATTTACAAAGTCTTGCACACTAATACCTATTAGTTAAGAAGATTTTACGAAATGTTTACTATGTTGTTCTCTATTTTTATTGAATTGTTGTTCTATATAACTTAAACTTGTTGTTTTTTATTAGTAATATCCAAGAAATTTCTTTCTATTAACTTGTCAAGGCTTAGAATTGCATGTTGAGCTTTTTACATCAAATAATTTATCAAAATTTTATTGGCTTTTTTAAATTGTCAATTCAATGGTGTGAATGAATAGTTATTAGAGTTGATCAAATAATCTTGATTGCATTAATATGCTTTTAGGATTAGCAAAATATCTCAAATTTTGTTTGAGTTTTAAAGATAAATCTTAAATTCATATCGCCAAATCTTTCTTACAAAGAAGATTTTTATTGAATTTTGATAAGAAAATTAATTTTTATCGATTGAGATGTTGTATGTTCAAAAAAATTTCAAAATTATACAATCAAAATCTATTATTTAACAACAAATACAAATAAAAATAACATTTTCATGAATCGTAATCAATAAAAATTGATTGAACTCTGTTATTAATTTTGATAGCGCAGGCATTTTCGTTTGGATGCAAAGCGAATGCCTCAGGAACAGTTCCAACCATATGCTTCTTCATTTCCAAAACTCCAGTCTCAGAAGAAAAAGAAACCAAAGAATCAGAAATTCCAACAGCATAAGGCAAATGTTTGTGGACATCGAAGTGTGACAAACCTTTACCCATGTTGTATGAGGATTCCTCGGTCATTGTCCTCATTTCGAACAAAGATACGTTTCCACTTGAATATCCAGCAATTAAACTGAAAGGAGATGCACCACTTGCATTACAAGAGATGAGACCTGGTCCTGCACCATGAATTACAGCTGCTCGTCCAGGCATTCTTGTATCAAAAATTGATAAATCTTGTTGAGCGACGTAGAACAATGTAGAATACGGTTTCAGCCATTCTACGTTCTCTGTCTTCGAAAAATCTATCGATATCGTCTGACATTTCTGCAAACAGCCCAAATCAAAAATTGATACATTCGCTGCTTGATGATAATGCAGGATTTTGTAGTCCCTGTTGTTGTAATCAACAATTAGGGATCTGTTGATGTCAGGAGGGGCCATCCAAAAGGCTGCATTAGGATCTAAACTCATTGTATCAACAATTATAACTTGAGATCTGCTGGAAACGGCCAATAAGTGGTAATCGTCAATGAAATCGTTAAATATGACTTCTTCCTTGTAGTCTTCTCTCGCTTTCATCATTGGGAACATGGAAGGAGGCATTCCTTCTTTTGTTACGTGAGGACGGAAGAAATCATAGACTCTGTGGCCTTTCAACATGTTTGAAGATGTCTGTACATGCAATGCTCCGTTTTCATCTGCACAACAAAGCAATCCTGAAGGAGATATCGAAGGATTTCCTACAAGTTTGGAGTTGGAGTGGCTATTCTCTAGTGTACATTCTATAAATGCTAACGGTTCGATCGAACTCTCAAGAGAACGTGAAATTGTCGTCAAAAGCGCATTTGATACATTTGATGACAAAACTTGGGCTTTTTTCTTGATATATCGCCTTACAACAGGGGGTGGAGGAGGTGGATCCCTCGAATTCTTGGAGAAAGAGAACCTTGTCTTCTTTTCTTTCGGTTTTTCGTTTTCTTCTACTTCTGATTTGGTATTGAACGTGAATCTCATGTTGTGCATGTCATTGGCTGTCTTTTCATTCGATTTTTCTTTGTTACTTGACCGTCCACTGAATCTTATCAACTTTGGTCGCTCAGAAGGAACTTTTAACCTCGACGGAACCCTTTCTTGGGATATTCTACGCGCTTCTTCAGGCATACAAGCGTCAATGAACTGCATAAATTCGATCAATCTTTCGCATGTTCGTAAAGAAGGGTCGAAAGTCATTGTTTGCATCTGATATGTAAGGATCGTGGTATTTATATGATCAGTTGCGTCTTTATCGAAGTCAGGGAACTCTTCAAGTCTATTTATGAATCTTACAGGGTCAATCATGATCAAATAGGACAAGGAAACGAGAGATTCTTCTCTGACCATTGCATCCAAGTCATTGCAACCATCAATCAAACTAATGAAAATAAATTCTTTCATTTCATCGTTCAATTGGTCTTTCTTCTTCTCAATTATAGCTCTTATCTGCGATACCATTGAGGCTCTGACCATTGGATGCTTTTCTTCGAAGAATTCCTCATGTTTGAAAGTAAAATCTTCATGCATTGTCGAAAGAAGCAGATGAGCAAGCGCTCTTTGACGAATTGATGACGCATGCATCATTTGTTCAATGAATTTGTTGAGGCCACTCTGAATATAAAGGTCAACTTTTCCAGGAGAGTCAGAAAACAACAATAGGCAGCCAAGAGAGATAGTTCTGAGTTCCTTATGCTCGCTATGCACTCTTTCGATCCAAAAATCTACATGGTTCTCAAAAGCAGTTTTAAGAGGGGGAGACACCAATAAACAATTTAAGACCACATAAGAAAAGTCAGCGGCTGTTTCATCTGACATTGCTTTGACTCGTTGTGTATCATTAATGATCAATGCTAATGATGAAAATGCTTTCGTACTTAAGAATCCGACAACAAATCTTCTCGAAATTCTCAAAAATTTGGAACAAATATGGATTGTTTCTTCGAAATACTGCGGAAGGTCTAACAATGGAGCAATATACTGGAATTCACCTGGTGGATTTCTCTTTTTGTTTGGAAAACAAAGCCAATTTTCCAATAAAGTTAATTGTTCCCTCAAAACAGTATCAAGAGATATTTCTGTCTGTGGAGTAGGCTTTGCTGCTTCCATTAGTCCAAAAAGAGCTTCATCTACGTGTACATCGAAAGAATCCCACAAAGGATGCTGAGATAAATCAGGAAAATCAGGATACGAGAACGGAGTCATGGAATACGACTTCATTACACGTGTTGCGAATATGAAATTCGTACAAAGTTTCGACATAATCGGTGTAGTTCTGAAAGATTTGTAAAAACGCTCTGGCATCTCTTCGTAAGCTTTGAATATCATTTGGTCGACACATGCCTGCAAACAAATTTCGATCATATCGATAATAGGATTTGAAATTTTTGAATCATGAACTTTTTCAATCAAAGTTACGATATCGTAGTCTGTAAGTACTCCTGACTTGATATCTGAGTAGTCCTTTGACAGCCACAGCAATGCAACGCTCGCAGGAGTCAAAAGACATGAAGTAAATAAATCATAAGGAACTTGAGGTGTATAATGCAATGTATCTGTGGTCGCACCGAAAATTGTGACAAATTGGTCTGAGGTATGTATGATGTCTGCCACGTTTTTTGCATAATTACAGTCTATAATGAAAATTGAGTTTGAATCGATTTGATCTGCCAATCTTTTGATTGCTTCTGGGTCTTCTTGTAGCGGAAGTGATTGTAGAGGCATATCAACTTGCTGTTTGTAGCCTTTCTTCGCGAGATCTTTGAGATTTGGTGTAGATCTTGATAATCCTTTGACAGATAAGCCAGTCGATTTGGCAACAATCTTCTGAGATGTACCTAATGTAGGATCGATAATATGGTATATCAGTTGCTGATAGTGTTCGTTGGATATTGGAATTGGATCAGAATTTCCAATGGAAACTGGTTGAAAATCTATGGTGAAATTGTTGATTAGATGTGAGTATTCCTTTTCTATACCTGCTTTTATCATTTTATTCGCTGTTTTTGCATCAATTGTTGAAATATCATTCCAACAGAAAACTTTCGGCGGTAAAGTATCTTCATCTACCTCAAAGTGTTCTGTTGCAGTTAAATTTTCCGCCAATTTGCAGACAATTTGAATAGCAGGATCTGTCGTCGAAATTTGAGGAATACCAATTTCATGGCTCGCTCTAGTGTTTATATATCTATCATAAAATGGATGCCAAACCCTAGAAGCTTCCTCTTCGACTAAGTCTTCGACGTGATTTTCCCAGGCGCCGATAGACTCCATTCAAATTGAGATTTTACATAAATTCTGTATTCGACAAAAGTGACAGAATACATATGAGATTTTGATACGAGTATCTGAAACATGTATCCATTACCTTTTATTCAGGTTAAAAATCTCTAAATCTCACTCTTGTCTAATTCTTTTTGTTAATTACGAGCCTTAAGAAATGATGAAAGAGTGAGTTTCTATAATCTTCCAGGAAAAAAGACTGACTTTATAAAGCAGAGCTATTACACTAATTTTTTGTTAATCAAAGAGATTTTTTCAACGTTGCAGATCTCACACTACTTATGGTAATGCGACTTAAAATATCTATAATTACAGATTTTTATATTAGATTATGATATAATCCATAATTAAAAAAAGTTGGGTTATTTTATTCGGTAGGAATGTTCGGCAATAAAAAGTTATGACAGTTACATAAAAATACATGGTAAGATTTTATTAATTATCAAATTCATTGAACAAAAAAGGATCAAATCCCGAATTCGATTCATAAATAGGGAAACTTCCATGACATGCTGCAAAATGAACTGGATAATCCTGTGAGGCCGAATTTTTTGAAAATTTGATTCGGATTTTTCCTTTAAACTACAGTTTCGTGAATTAAGAATTCGTTAAAACTTCTGAGACATCTTGAGGAACTTTAATCAAATTCAGTCTCCCTCTTTCTTTTTTCTCCGGAAAAATTCCGTTATCACAAAAATGTGGGACGTTCGTTCTTATTTCTTGAGTAAAACGCCCTATCATACGGAAGACATTTGGCGAGTCAAAATCTCCCCAGCAGTATTGAAGCTTAACGTTAATAAAAGGTGGTTGCCTTACAATAGTATTTCCGAAAAACGAGCATTGGCGGCATGTTATAGACTTGTCTCCTAACAAATAGCTTAAAGTATTTGATATGAAATTTGAAATCTTCAATGCACATGAGCTACATTCGCCAATTGATCTAATACAGCAATAATTTGATCCATTAGTCTCATGAACTAAACCAATAGTTGAATTACTTTCTACTAATGAGATGAAACAACTGGATCCAGATCCTTGACATAATGTGCTGTTATGAATGGTGAGAAGCAATGTTGATTGAATAATTTTAATATTTGTCTGCATATAATAAGGATTGGAAGAACAATTCGCTGTTGTTGATGAATTCAATAAAAATGAACAACTATTTACAAAAATTGAATTTGCAACAGCATGATTATACTCATTTGAAACAAAACATCCATAAAAACATGCATATACACAGTCAAATTTTCCTTTTTCTTTATAAATTGCACCACTTTCTATCGATGATTGACATTTTTGGAACATGCAATGTTTAATAGAAAGGATACTATCGCCGTTATGATATATTGCACCACCGTATTGTTCCGAAATAATATTGATGAAATTCGTATCATGTATATCAACTTCGGAACTTAAATCTAAATGCCTTAGGAAAGATATGCGTGGAGTTGATATATGTGCATGCGTCAAATTCATATTTTTCATCAATAAATTGCAAAAAATAATCATCCTTCCAATCGGCAATTGTCACTTTTACTCAGTTATGAGTAGCAGTGAGAGGAGACCAGCTGGCGGACCAAGGAAAATACCAGAAAAACTACCAGAGATTGAAACAATTCAGTATGGTGAAAAACTTGGACAAGGCCATTTCTCTGAAGTATACGAAGGCGTTTATAAAAACGAATTTCCTGTAGCAATAAAAGTCATTGAAAGAGGATCTGATCATCTCATATCAACAGAAATCCAATTACTACAAGATCTTCGTGGTCTTCCACACATTGTTCAGCTCTACGAAGTAATTCATAAAGAAAATACTGTCTTAGTATTTGAACTCGTTAAATCCTTAGATACAGATGATTTCTTTGACGAACTTACTCCGAAAAGGCTTAAATTCTGCCTCAAAGCACTTTGCACTGCATTACAAGCTGCTCATAGAAAAGGTGTTGTTCACCGCGATATCAAATTAGAGAATGTAATGATAAGTGAAGACTTCTCTGACCTCAAAGTTATTGATTGGGGCTGTGGAACTTATATAACAGATTCAATGTCACCAAAAGCAGGTTCGCGTACTGTTAGATCACCAGAAATGTTACTTGGTTACCGCGGATATGGCTCTGCAGGCGATTGCTGGGCTGTCGGAGCCTTTATTTACGATGTTTTGACAGATGGTCGCATCCCATGGAAAGCCAAATCCAGTCCAGAAGCTTTAGGTAAAATGTCCACTATATTTGGCGGTTCTGCTTTATTTGGTCTGGCAAAGAAATTAGATATCGATGTTGACGAACAAGCAGCAGCTTTGATGAACCACCACGCTAAACATACAATTGACAGCTTCTTCTCAGAGGACTGCAGCGATTTGGTCGATGATAATCTCGTAGATTTGATGCATCACTTATTAGAGATTGATCCATCAAAGCGTTATACAATGGATCAAGCCCTCGGTCATCCTTATTTCACATCATAAAAAAATAATTTTGTTTGTCAAAATAAATTTGAATTTTTTTTTTAGCAAAAATAATTTTTTTTATAATGATATCCATCTTCGAAAATATCATTATACAACTATTAAATTTTGGCACCATGAGAAAGAAGAAGTTTGACTATTCCTTTATTATTTTGACATTCTGCATTATGAAGAGCTGTTTTTCCAAATTCATCTTTTTCATTGATATTTGCACCATGCAAAAGAAGAACTTCTGCTTCTTCTTTACTATTATGAAGTGCTGCTTTATGAAGAGCGGTTTCTCCAGATTCATCTTTTTCATTGATATTTGCACCATACGAAAGAAGAACTTCTACTATTTCTTTACTATTATGAAGTGCTGCAACATGAAGAGCTGTTTCTCCATCTTCATCTTTTCCACTGATATTTGCACCATACGAAAGAAGAACTTCTACTGTTTCTTTACTATTATGAAGTGCTGCATTATGAAGAGCAGCTTTTCCATTTTTATTTTTTTCATTGATATTTGCACCATGCGTAAGTAGAACTTCTACTATTTCTTTATTATTTTTAAATGCTGCAATATGAAGAGCGGTTTCTCCAGATTCATCTTTTTCATTGATATTTGCACCATGCAAAAGAAGAACTTCTGCTTCTTCTTTACTATTATGAAGTGCTGCTTTATGAAGAGCGGTTTCTCCAGATTCATCTTTTTCATTGATATTTGCACCATACGAAAGAAGAACTTCTACTATTTCTTTACTATTATTAAGTGCTGCATAATGAAGAGCGGTTTCTCCATAATAATTTTTTATATTAACATTTGCACCAAGTGAAAGGAAATATTGACAAAGAGATGGAATTTCAAAATGTTTTGAATAATCAAAGCATAAGTTAAAATTATTAGTTTGATCGAAATAAACTAAAAATGATTCTAGATTATTATTTTTTGTACAATAATCTAAATTGATCTCTATATTGTACTCATTCATTAGGAAAGTAACAAAATCAATGTTGTGTGAAATAATTGCATAGTCCATACAAAAAGAATCTGGTTTTTGATATTTCAAACATTCACTCATAATCTCTTGATTTCTGCCTAAAAATGATAATTGAAGACATGTTTTTGTTATTTCTGATTTAAATTTCGTTATTAATAACTTGAAACAACCAATTGCTCCGTGGTAACAACATAATTCAAGTAATGAATATTCATTATAAGCTAAGGGATATAACATGCTTTTAAGTTTTTGATCTTTATCAAATCCATTACTTTCAGTGAATGAGATGAATGTCTCTAAGTCATTATACATGATTGCTCTATAAATTGTATTTTCTGTATGAATATTGATATTTTCTGAGTTAATATTTACGAAAATTATTTCGCCTAATTTAATTCCATATTCTTTATAAAATATGAAGTCAGAAATAACTGAAATATCAGTGACTTCTTTTACATTGTAGTCATCAGTTATGAATTTGGCAAGAGTCAGATATGACTTTGTATAGCGGTTATTAAACGGAATAATGTTTAAAATATCTTTGACTATATTTTGGGGATGATATTTCTTTGAATCAATTAACTCTGTTTTGATCATATTATAAATCTTGTTTAATTCTTCTTCATTTTCCGTCTTCAGCTGATATAATGCATTATATGAATCGATGTAGTATTTATACATACTTCGCTGTGCACTGAAATCATTTGGATGAACGTCTTGCTCAGACATTATATAATTCTAAAATTCGTATCGGACTAATAATCATCTTCATTATTTGTTAGGAGAAAAAGGCTATATTATACATGTGGAATACAAGGACCACAAAGATTTCGTAATTAAATTTATGAATTTTGATAATACTTATAGATATCAAATGATACAATAGTAATAAGAGAGTCAAAGGCTGTAAGAAATTCATCAATAACCTCATAATATTTTGAAATTTTGTTTGTTGAAAGTTGATATGTAAAATAGTATTAGATATTATTTTGTATTATCACTATAATTTAATATGAAATCATAATAAAATTCGTACGTTTTTTTAGATGGAGGAGAACGACATTGATCAAGTCATCACACACGGGCTTTTGAACATCTCGTTCGACTACAGTAATGTCAGAGAAATCCTTTCTGAGCTCAACAAACGAATTGAACATCTAAGAAATGATAGCCAGAGAGCAAAAGAAATAAAAGAGTTTAATGATGCCATCGTTGACATGAAAGCACAATTAGTTAGCTGCAATGGACGAATTGGTGAAGTCGAACGCAATGTTAATTTCATTCAGGCTACAAATCAAAGAACTTTAAATCAAATGACCGACAAATTCAATAACTTATATGAATTAACACAAACAAACATCGATAAAAAGCAAGTAGAACTCATTACGGCTGCTCAACAGCAAATCGACACAGGTCTTATCAATGGAATTACAAAAATGAGAAAAAAATTTACAGATAGCTTTAGTACAATCGACATGCACAACGAGCTAGCATATAAACTAGATCAATTAAGTGATAAATTCGAGAAAATGTCCACTGTTTCCACTGATGGTTCCTTTGATGAATCAAAATTGCAGACAATTCTTGAAAGATTAGGGGTTTTGGAAACTAATATGGATGCTGCTCAACAAACAATATCAGAAAATAGCGATAATGTTCTGAATATGAAATCTCAAATGGATTCTTTACAAACTACAACAGATGAAGTACAAGAAATAGTAATTAGCTCCAGGTCAGCCGAAACATTAACACCAGCTATCGATAATGAAGCTCTAAAGTCACAAATGCAAGGATTTGAAGATAGAATCGCGGAATTACAGAAAGAAATAGAAAACGTACGAAATACAGATTGCGCAAAATTACAACAAGACTTTACCTCGATGCAAGAAGGCCTTGCCGATACTCTAAACGATATTTTTGCAAAAATTGAAATTGCAATGAACAATTCTGCCGGAAGAATCTCAGCTATCGAGCGATCTTACTCAAAAAACCACATAGAGACTTCAAATCAGTCCACAGGAAGCCAAACAGACGCAGTTTTGCATATTAATACGATTACAACTCCAATTGTTTCCTCCAGATCCTCAATGTCATCAGCCTCAGTCACAACACCAACTCCTGGCTCCAATACAGCCTCTCCTCATCGACCAGCCGCTGTAATTAACACAAATCCCGAAAATGAGGAGTCCGAAATCAGTCCAAAGCCCGACAACGATGTTTCCGAGCGTCTAGAGAACAATCGCTCCCTATCAATGCTACTTCCAGACGATGTTGAACCCTCGCAAATCATTGATGACGACAAAACTCCTTTTGTTCCAGGCCTTTTAGGTCTTGACAAAGTGCAGCGCCAGTCTTTCTCCATGGACAATGAAAAAGAAAGCTCCAACAGGAATTACGACCGTTCAACAAGCGAAGAATCGTTTACAACAAACGATGGAACAAGAAGAAGGCGAAGATTATCGAGAACTATGTCTTCAGCCGGAATCATTGACCAATCAATGGATCCTACACAAAGTAGAGGCAACTTGAAGCCAATTATTGTTGAAGGTGGTGCAAGGGAACTGTCGGAGAAACTCCAAGATTTAGTTGTCAGAGTTGAAGAAATTGAGCACCAACTTTCTAAGACGAGAAGAAGCGAAAGGAATTTGGAGAACTTGAATGGCAGTCAGTCATCATTTGATGGCATCAATAGTGATGCTATCCAGGCAATTAATAAAAGGATTGACCATTGTTGCAGCCGAGAAACAGTTGACAAAGTTTTGCAGATTGTTAAAAACGCCGTTTCTAAGTTAGGAACTAGAGTTGAGAATATCGAGAAAGATAATTCATCATGTATCCACAAAGATGAGTTTGTTAAGTACTTGAATGCAGTTCAAGCAGCTACAGAAGGAGATAACACAACAGCTGCGGCAACTAGAGGTTACAAATGTCTTCTTTGTGGTCGAGAAAAAGGCGGAGTTGTCGGAATGATCACAGATTCAGAAATTGCACGGTTGATGGGAGAACCACAATCATGTGCTCCTGTCAGAGCTGGAGATACAGTTATATTGAACTACGGAAGTGGTCCTGTTCGTCCTAAGTCAGCAATCAATGCAACAAAGAAATCCACTTCAAAGAATGCAACAAAACTTCCAAAGATTGAAGACAAAGTATAATTTTGTTTTATATTTTTATCTGTTTGTTTGTTTTTTAAATAAATAATCATTATTTTAATCTATATTAACTTTAATAATTCCTTCAAATAGAACTCTCCTGCATAAACTTATATAGAATTGATTTACTCACATATAAATTAATCTGTGTTTACGTCAAATTTCTGCTAAGTGGAGTAAATTTAGAAATTAATGTGCATTCGTTTTATAAAATAGTAAATGTTTAGATGTGAATATGATATAAAATATGACTAACAATAATATTGGTGGCTTATTCTTTTACAAAATTTTTCCCAAATGCCTAGCGAAAAAGAAATGACACCTTTCCGATGCATAATATATTGGATTTCGAAAATATGCCTGTGCATGAGATCTTTTTGCTATTTTTCAAAAGTCGTAATTTAAATTTTATTGATGTCACGTCAATAAAAAAACCGTTTGTTATTTAATCAAATAAAGTGATGTCATATAGTGAAGATATTTCAACTCGTTTAGGTCAATTAGAGAAGAAATATAATACCCTTCAAAAGATTGTTATGCACAACATAAAAGATGATGAATTATCAAGATTGCAAGACCAAGTTCATGAAATCGATGTTTCGCTAACAAAATTAACGAGCATTGTCAATAATGAAATTATGAAAATTAAATCAATGATCGACTTATCAATTGACGATTTAGATTCTAAAATTAACATCAAAATTGAAGATAAAATGCCAGATTTAGATGAAGTTAACGACAAAATCGAAACATTACAAGAAGAGTCATTTATTTTTCACCAACAAGTGGCTGATGATACCGTAATAATCAATGAAAGATTTTCTTATCTCGAAACAATTGTCAATAAGCTCAAGATAGATAATTTAACAACTATTGAAAATAAATTCCAAAATGTTCAAAATACAAATAATAACTTGACAGAATTTGTTAATAAAGATGTTGAAGATAAACTTAAAGAATTAAGAGATTTAGTTGAAAACAAATGCAATGATTTAGATTCAAAAATTGATGAATGCAAACAACACGAAGAAGAAGATTTCAAGATATTAGATTATAAAGATAAAGATTTACAAAAACAAATTGATGATTTAAGGAAATTAATTGAAACAAATAACATTCAAGCTGAATGTCCAACACGTCGTATCGATTTAAATGATAATAATAAGATAAATGAATTAGAAAATAAGATTGATAATATAAAACGGGAAAAAGATGATGAATCTAAGAAGTTAAATGATTTTATTGGAAACTTACAAAATTTATTGAAAGATATGCAAAATAATGAACCAGTAGAAAAGAAGAAGGATGAAAATGTTGTCGAATTAAAGAATAAGTGATATGAATTATAAGAAAAATACTATCCTAAATTTAATCAAAGCAGGAACGATAATTTTATGGTTTGAACTTACGCCCATTTGGCTTTAATTCAGATTTCTATAGAATTGGGGCATATGTCATTCTTTTGCAAGTATGACCTTTAAAAAATTATATTTAAAATTTATATATATTTGTGTCTTTATTTCTAACGATTTGATTTGTTTTGAAATAATTTCTAAAATGGAATTTATTTAGCATTTTCTGACATTAAAATTTATTGTTTATTATTTTTGCAATTTTTTCGAGGATAATCAATAGATTGGGCATCCAAAATAAATCAAATAGCCTTTTTTATCAAGATACATATAGAGTATATCTCTTTCTTTAAAAAAAAATCAAACCAAATCTGCAATTGGAAAAATTATTGATTTATTTTAATCCTCAAAGAAAAGAATCAATGTTACTAAATAAAAACTATCCCAATGATGTTTGGGAGTCGTTTTTCGGATCTTCTAAAAATTATACTGAAATTTACTCAAATCAAACTATTAATAATGAAGATAGTAGCTACTATATTTTCAATGTTTTATTTCAGGATCTTTCTGCACCAGTTATTGAAATTATATCAGAATATAATCCAAAACTTCTTATTTCTGATTCAATTTTCGATTCAAATATAGCAAACATATCAAAAGAGTATTCTATTTATTTTTCAAGAGGTTCCTTCATACATCAACGAACCTGTGCCAAAAATTTGAAATCATTGTCAACAAATGGTTGTCACTCGGCTAGTTATGGTTTTGATGACAGTCAAACATTGAACTATGTAATGGATTCGTCGATAGCAAACTTTGGATTTGGAGCAGCCGGTATAATGCTACAGAATGGTAAAATTCGAATAAACAAAGTAAATATTTCTAATTTAAAATGTGACGATTCTTGGGCTGCATATTCCATCTGGTATCCCACTGGTCGTTCAAATGTTTCGTTATCAACTTTCATCAATATTACTAATTTATATGTACAAGAGGAAAATCGGGGCATCATTTTATACCTTCATGATGAAGGAGGATTAATTTATCAATCAATAATTAATGAAATTTTTTCTAATTGTATCCTATATTTATATTACAGTGATTTACAAATTCAAGAATGTCAAATAAATACTAATTATGTTCCATTAACAAATGTAGATGAGGATTCTGGAATATATGATGAGGATATTGATTCACAGGTGATTGTTAACGAATATTCAGGAAATGAATTGTGTAAAGGAGATCCGTTCGTTTTCAATATGTTATTGTTGAAAAATATTTCGATCGAGAATGAAAATTATCCATTCATTGAAAAAGATGAAAACATTTTAGCAAAAATATTTGTTTTACATTCAACAACAATCACAAATGAAAACATATTAATTGAATCATGGATTGATGATGATTATAATAATAGAGAATCAAAACACATCCAGCAAATTCAAACAATTTCAGAAGACAAATATATCCATTTCGAACATAATTTGAATGATATTTATGGACAACATGCACTTAAAGTTCGAATATCAGATATTTCGATGAAAATAACATCAGATAGTGTTTCTGTTTCGTTTTACGAAGGCCAGAAGTTATCATTTCAGTCGAAGATTCATATTACACACGAAACAAAGTCACAATTGTTGGAAATGTTAATGGAAACGTCACAGATTGCATGATTCATCTTTCATTCGACAATAAAACTCAATCTCATTCTATCCACACATATACAAACGATTTCTTACTTTCATCAGATATTCCAACAAATTTTGATCCACAAACATCAAATATTTACCTCACTATCACAAACAGCAAAAACAAAATTATTTCACAATTAATCAAAAATGGTATCAGCAGAAAACAAATTAGTAAACCTGATAGAAACTGTTTACCATTTTATTCATCAAGACGTAGATGAAATTAAAATAAAACATATACTTTAATATATATACAAACACTGAAAATATTTTAATGAGCTTTATAATGAAATATATGATTTCAATGAAACTCTTTTTCTAAGAAAAGAAAATGTAGCCATATTTTGGATAGGAATAGGGATTGTTGTTTCAATACTACTCTTGCAATAATAATATGCAATGTTATTATCAAAAGGAATTTCGTTCCTATTCGTAATAATCACATAATATGAGTTTGGAACGGTGTCAGCAATGTAGCTACCATCAACATAAAATCTTCCTTCATAAGGAGCAAAATAAAAATATTCAGTTTTGGCTGTATTTCTGATAAAATTACATTTAGTAATATTAATTGTTGAGTCTCTGGCACCCATTTGAACGCATAAATTGTTACTTAAATGGTTGCAATATTCAGCTAAAAAATAGGGCACTTGATAAAAATAACTCACAATTGAATTGGATATTGTATCGGAATTATTGGTAATTATAGAAAATGATGCTTTTGATGGGTATCTAACTGTTGTCACACTGTAAAATCCATAAAGTTTAGACACTGAATAAGATATATTGTCATAATTAATCTCAACATTACCATGATAAAATCCATTAATTCCAAATTGATCGTTAATCAAATTACCGCTATGAGATATTGCTGAATCAAGTAGTTTATTCTGATAATTTGCAATATTACTAACAAAAGAATAACAATACATGGCTCCTAAATTGGAATTTGAATTTACACTGCATATTCGATTTTGGGCGCATTGTCCTTCTTTACCGAAGTAAAGGCTTCCTCCTTGCCCGATCGAATTAGAACAATTGTAAAAATCAGTATTTTCAATAAGAACTTTTGTCAAATTTAGATTATTTGTGAAATTAATAGCACCTTGTGTGATTTGTTCTTCAAATCTGCATCGAACAATGTAATAATTGCAATCTTGGGCACTTAGATTCACACTTTTTTTGTGATAATATGATTTTTCATCTGATTCTTGGAAAAAAGTATCCCAATCTTGCTGTAAAAGTTCTTCCATAAACTTTATTCTGTACCATTTGATATAAGCTATCATTTCTACGCCCTACACTTTCCAAATTATAAAAGATTCACAAGCAAAAAAACGTTGTTTCAATACGTTCACAAATTAAACCACGACTCAAATTTTTCTTCATTGATTTTAATTCATAATATGATGTAGAGTCAATAGTTATAAAAAATAAAATTTTTATCTTTGAAATCATTGTTGAATCTGGTTACGCAATTCTTTTGCTAAATTTGTTATTTATTTCATTTATCTGAGTATCGATCAATTTCATGAACTTTACATAATAATGAGAGATAATTGATTGTTGTTTGATCTATTAACCCATCAAAAGTTCTTCACAATGATTAAAAAAGTCATATGCATTGATTGAATGTTCCTATATAATGATATTAAACAAATCATGAAATAAGTCCTTTGTTTTTTATGCTAAGAGTGAAATGATTGAATCCAATAAATTACACGTATTCTACTGTTTATTACTATCAAATAATGCAAAATTCTTGGTTGTCATTATCCATTTCATTATTCACGTGAGATTCTCACAATTTTCTGTGGAGGGAATCTTAAATCATGAATAATTTAACCATGGAAATGAGTTTAACTTATCCTTTTCCTTTAACTATGCCAATAACTATCTCTTGTTTCAAATAATTCTTAAAATTAAAAAAATGTAATTAAAACGAGTCATGATATTGTAATGTTTAGAGAATCTTATCATGTTAGAGAAAAGAAGCAGATTTAGTCCTTGATCTTAAGATTGACGAAGTAGTTGATTTCCTTTGCATCACTGAGGTTCGGGATTGAAAGGCCAACCTTAGCTTTTCCGAGTTTCTTGATCTTGAACTTAGCTTCTCCGAGAAGTCCTGGAGTGATCTCCTTTTCTGCCTCCTTTGTGGCCTTCAAGACGAGGTTGAGGTCCATCTTCTTAAGGTCAGCCTTGATGCCGAAGGATCCGTTGATATCCTTGTCGTAGTTAACGTTGAGACCGTATTTGACCTTCTTTCCGAGCTTTCCTTGAGCGTTGAACTTGCCTGTCTGGAGAGATGAAACAATGAGGCCTGCCTTGTGTCCCTTGTACTTCAGCTTGGAGTAGAGATCGATTGATGCGAGAAGGTTCTCTTGTGTTGGCTGGAAGTGGAAGAGAGCACCGGCATGGAGCTTCTTTGCTATCTTGGCAAAGACACCAGCTTGGTATTCCTTGGATTCTTCGTCGAAGCAAGCAACGAAGTTAACTTTCTTGATCTTGGCCTGTGCATCGAAGAGAACTGGTGGAAGATCTTCCTCTGGCTTCTTTAACAAAATGTCGGCGTGGACCTTCATCTTGTTGACCTTGAACTTTGGCATAAGGAGTAATGAAGGAGCAAGCTTAGCAGAATCGAATCCGAAGATGGCCTTTGTCTTCATCTTCTTTATCTTCTTCTTTGTGGAGAAAACAAATGTGTTTTCAAGTGGGTTGATTGTTAACTCTGTTTTGATCTTGTCTAATTTTGGAATAATTGAGATCTGTGGCTTGCCCTCTGCAAATCCAACGATGGCCTTGCCAGCCTTCTTGACTTTGAACTCAGCTGAGAGAGCTGGGTTTTCAATCTTTTCATCGACAGAAAGAACGCACTCAGCTTTCTTCTGCTTGAGTGTGACAGCAACACCTGGCTTGAATTCAATTTCTGTGAACTTCTTACCAAGTTTCTCGTACTTGATCGGCTCCATCCTTCAAAAGTGAAGTGAACTGCGCAAAATTTTCTACAATAGTTTACTTGAGGCTATTAACGATAGCTATTGAATATTGACGCTGTTAATGACTGAATTTTCTTTATACGATCAAAATTTATTGACGTTATTAGCAATTGTATTGTTCGTCTACATCGAAAATGAACGATTCATATATGAGCTTGTATATTTTAACAAGAACTTTCTGTTCTGGCTATCTGTTTTTCTCAAAAACTTTGTTTACATCAATTATCTCTTCAATAAGGTGTAAATCTCTTCCAAGCTAGCCATTATCGGGTAATATTTGTTTAAAGTAGTTAGAAATCCTCATCATTAGATTATATCTTTATATATCCTTATTGTATAAAAATTTAAAATTATTTTCAGCTATATTATAGCTGATGCACCATAATTCTATGTTTCTAGTGACATGCTATTATTTTATGAAATTGTTTAGTAATACTACCCAGTTTCTTGGCTTTTCAATAAATCATTCTATATCGTTCTCAATATTGCCATGAGTGATAGTTGTGGCAGTTATAAAGGGGTAGATCTGTCAGTGTTATCGGTAACAAGAGAAGTTGACTATGTCAGAGTGCATTAAAAAGATTAAGAATGCTCCTGTGCATGTGACACATGATCTTTTCAAGAATATTGCACAAATCCTTGATGGGCAGCCCTTTTTCTTATGATAATTTTTCTTTATATATCAAAATATTTAAATCAGATTGCTCACTCATGTGCATCAATCCCAACATCTGTTTATTATGTTTGCCAATAGTGATTTCAATCTTGGTATTGGCAATTCTTTAGAGTCTTTAGATATGATGTGTTATATACTAAAAAATACGCAGTGTTAGTTGGATAAATCGATTTAAATAGGAATTTCTAATCTATAGGATTGTTGTTATCTTATAATAAAGCATACTCAAAGAATGAATAAGATAATATTTGGAAGAATAGAGGAAATGTTCAATGAAATAGTTATTACATTAGTTGCTTTGTAATAATATATATTCTAATTGATGTATGATATTTTGAATACATCTTGGCCCAGTCACTTTTCTGATGCGGTTTTGACAGCCAATATTTATCAATGCAGGTCTTTGTTCGCAGCCTCAGTGGTAAATTCCTCACACTTGAGGTCCCAGAGGGCCTTACACTTGAGGAACTCAAGGCTTTCACAGACCTTGAGCTTGCCGGTGCCGTTTTCGAAAACGCCGTCCTCGATGAATTCGAAGTTGATGATGGTGGCAAGAAGAAGAAGAGGAAGAAAAAGAACTTCGTCTCCAAGAAGCGCGTCCCACACCAGCGCAAGAAAGAGAAGCTGAAAATCCTTAAGCTCTTCAAGATCGGAAAGGATGGCTCCGTTGAAGCTCAGCGTAAGGAGTGCCCACACTGCAAGGGCTGCTTCCTTGCTAAGCACAAGGATGGCCGTCAGTACTGCGGTAACTGCCACTACACAGTTGACAAGGAAGGCAAGCAAATCAAGTCTAACTAAGTAATTGCTAGGTAAATAAAAGTGTTCATGATCTTATCTTGGTCACTTAGTGACCCCAATCCTTGATGGAAAGTAATTTCCGGAGATTGGTCCAGATGAGACAATGAACAGTCTTTATTTCCAAGGTATGATTGGCTTTCCTGCTATTCTTACTATTAGAAGTATGACTGCTCATTTGATGTAATATCTCATCTTGGACTCATCGTGCATCTTCGGTTTTCGCAAATTCATCAAGTTTTTTAGGTTTTTTTAAGCATCTTTGAGAAATTTTCTGATTAATTACTAAGTGAAGACAAATAACATTTGATTTTACTCAAATGTTATTTGTTTTCTCTTAAGTTCAAACAATTATTCATTTAGCGAAATAGTTTTATTATAGTTTTACTTTATTTTGAGTTTGATGCTGCATTAATGAATATTATAAGTTGTTTGTCCGTTGGAAGCTATGAAAATAAGTTTTACGGCTTCTATTAGTGCTTCTAATGATATTGTGTGCAAGGGAAATTAATCCTTGAAAGTTTTCTGCCTACATATAGTTTAAATTACCACGATGAACTATATATACTTAGATCAAGGCATCTTTCTTTAATATTCGGATAGCGTTTGAGTCAATAATCCATGACTTGTAATATATCTTCAGTAAGAATCATTTCTCTTAGATTTGTCAGAAAATATAGAACTTAATTATCATAAGAGCTTTTTGAAAGCTTGAGAATGTGAACTACACATATCCCAGTTGGTAAATTTGACATATCACATTCAAAATTTTATTGGATAATCGGCCACAGATGTATCTGAACTGCTCATTAACATACCGACAAACGGTGGATGCATATTGATGTATAGAGTGTTTCTTTATACAAAATTTATATGAACTTGATTGTAAAAGTATTAGAAAACAAATCATATTATACAAATATGTTGAAAGTGATTGGCGATAAGCAATTAAACAATGATATTTTGAATAAATAAAAAAATACAAAACATTTTATTCATCAACGCGTTGGTAAAATATAATATATGCGTTGTTCTGGTGCGCTGCTTCTGGTGTGCACCTGTAAGCCTGCTTTTCATTGAATTCAGCCCATGTTACAGCATCAATTTTTGCGTGAGCGCTGTAATGGCCAGCTCCTATCTTTCCACCGTATTCGCATACGGCCACGAGTTGGAATTTGTGTCTTCCATATAAATCTGTCAAGTTTAATTCGTCTGGATACGTCACAGCTATGTCGTTTTTCTTTGTCTGGCCACGGACGATGTCGAACCTCTTTAGAGCAAGAATTAAAACCTTCGGCATCTTCGCAATCGACACTTTTTTCTTAATTTTCGTCATTTCACCACAAGGTCTCCATGAATCCCTGATTCCTCGTGATAATCCTGCTTCTTCTATCAATTGTATTATGTTTACATCCTTCTTTCCGGTCGTTACGCTGTTTTTCACTGGAATTCTCATCAATTTTTGCCAAGAAACTCCAGTTGTCTTAACAATAGTGACGATTACGGATCTTGCTGCTACTGATGGACACTCCGGGATCGGTTTGAATCGCATTGATTTCGAAAAAAGTGACTTTGAAAGTTCAATTTCGAATCTCGTAGGGGAAGAAGGGCTATTTTTAATACTTGGCACTAGTATTCCTAATTCTGGGTTAATGAACGTATCCGTTGTCGGCTCGTATATATAGGAGAAGTAATTATCGCAAATCTCCAAAACTTGTTCGGCAGAAGTATCCGGAGAAGGTATTTCTATGAGGAAAGGGCCATCTATGATCTTGCTGGAGTTAATTAGCTTATGTAAGTTAACGGCCACTCGGACCATCATATGAAGACCATTCAGGTTATTAATTTCGTAAACTATGAGAGTCTTACCGTGTATGGCCGTCTCGGGTCCGGTGATCCATTCGATGTTGTTTTCGTTGTCTACAAGGCCGTAAATGCAGTTAATTGGTCGTTGAAGGTATTCCGCGAGACTGGCAGCAAAATTTTCCGCGTTAACCTTCTTATCTATAAGTGGTATGCGAAGAGAATACCTCGGAAGCTTCGGATCCGACGGGACAAATATAAAAGTTGATGATAAAACCGTCGGAGGAGGTAAATTGAGTAGTAACGATGTAAATGGCGAAAAGACTGTCTGTTCTGAAGTAAATTTAGGCGAAACCGTGGAAGTCATCGATTGACCGTGAAATATCTCTGTAATTATCGAATCGTTGAGCGCTACGTGCTCTATCCACTCTTCCATGGCTCTGGCTTGAGTACTCGATGATTCCTGCTTGATTGGTATATCGTGAGGTTGTCGAAGCTGTTCGTTGAGTAAATCTAAGATTACGGTTAATAATTGATGGGCGTCCTGATGGTGGTTGGCTGCAAATTCTGGGGAGTATTTTTCTATGATGGATTTGATTTCATATGGAGAAATTAAAGCTGATGTAGAATTTGAGTGATAAGATCGAACGAAATCGGTAAATGCGTTGACGATATTGCAGTTCTTGCATTTCCTAGGACATTCGATAACTGGTTTTGTCTGTGTGTTGTTTAAAAAGTATTCTTTCAAAGGATCTATGTGAACTAAGCACTGAAGGATGCTTTCGATAAAGCATGTGTTTGTAAGATTAACGAGGCCTTTAATTCCTTGTGGATTTTCGTAAAACTCGCGAGATTTTGAAAAAATTATTGGTGCGCTTACTCTTTCGGTATTTAAAGGATTTGAGAACAGCTGGTTGGGTGGAGTCGATGGTACACCAAGACCAGTTGCTCCGCTTGTAAAACTAGTTCTTCTTTCTTCGATAATTCGTCTGGAAACTGAAGCTCTTCTTGCTGAGCTTTTTATAGTGAATTCTGGCTTTGATAAGACTATTGGTGATGCAAAGGTTGGTTTTACTTGTGGAAATGGTGAAATTGTCGATGATGATTGATTACTCGCTGAATTTGTATTTGTTGGTTCAGAAATCTCTTCTTCGGCGGGGTAGTCTCCTTTTTGGAGAAGCAAATCTGTATTTACAAATAAAGAATACTCACAAATGATTTGATTTGGAAATAAATAACGTCCAACTTTCTTTTGCCAGTAATCTCTAAGCGTATATGATTGAGGGTTATCTAATTCGAATTCTTTGCATGCTAATTTAATTAAATTTTCGACTGCAACGAATTTTGAAATTAAAATTTTTTTAACATTTCCTTGGTAATGAACTTTAAATGAATGAAGTTTTGTTACTGGGACTCCATTTCCTGTTTTTGGATCATAGCCAACTTCAACTTCAACAGGAGGCCCTCCTTGATAAGTTTGAATGAGGCCATTCCAAACAGCGGCTGGAATAACTACGTAATCAACATCGACGGCTTTTTCTAGATAGTTGACGATTTCTGAATTGTCTATAGGAGGTAGTTTCTCTTTTGTTGGATTTGAATCAATCCCAATACTTTGCTTCCAGTTATTGAACCATTTAGCGTCAATGGCGTACGCTGGTTCGCCTGGCCGAAACGTTGTGAGGGATAGAATGTCCCTAACGACATTGGGTTGTTCAAAATCAGGATTTAAAGTCATTTAATTATTAAAAATTAAAAAAAAATTATAGAGAGAATGGGGAAATTTTGATCATTTGAATTTTTAATTGTATTTTTATGTTGTACGAGATCACAATCTCGGGGACTAAAGGTGGTTATTTCTTCGTTATGTGCGCTTTAATTCAATTTTTGAGATATTTACAAAGTTTAATGCAAAATCAAAGTCTTTATTTTCGTGGAAATGGGATTAATAATAAGTGATTTGGAATTTGATTATCTAATGGATCGACGAAATACAACTCAATTTTTCTTCTTTCTGAAAAAATTCAATCTCTTATTCAATTAATTTTAAATTCAGTTGAATCAAATTTTAATGAATATTTATCTCTTTGGAATAACATGTGTTTTATATTGATTTGGATATTGTGAGCAAAATTCGAAATATTACAAATTGAACAATAATTTCATGCTGCAATCCGTTATACTCCTCATTTTGTCTATAATTTTCTCAAAAATTCAGGAATAAACAAAAAATATTGTACTTCAATAAGAAATCGTTTAGTTCGGTTGAAATTTGATTTACCATTTGGTTTTTATTCAATATATCGTTGAAAAGCTAAGAATAATTACATCGATTTAAAATTTTCGGTAAAAAAGGGGGTTGGCGTCCTAAGGCGTCCTAGTGTAAATTTCTCAAAATTGTGATATTTACATCACATTTTTGAGAGGTTTATGGGCGTCCTCAGGGAAAATTGAATAGCTAGGGCGTCCCGAATTTTCATTCTAAGATTTAAATATATTATATACTTAAGTATAATACAAGCAATATAAAAATTAAATTTTTATTATGTTAAGGGTGCACCCGTATGTACGTTTATTTGAGAGGAGGAGGATTACCCTCTCAATTTTGAGGGATTCGTTAGTTTATTTTCTCGATGAATATGCAATAAAATTTGATTTTTACCTTATCAATATACTTCATATAATATACACATGTTCATGTAAAAACTTTTTTCCAAAATCCTCAGGAATTAAGGGATTTTTGAATTTTAAGAATTTTTTTCGAATTTTTTCGAAAAAAAAAATATTTTCAGAACAGCCTTAACTGCTAAGATTTAGGAACAATGTTAAGTATCAAAAAGAAAGGAGGTCTGATATAGACAACATATATCGTTGAAGGTTGAAAAAATCTCTAATATTTGAGCCCAAAATTTCAAATTTTAATTTTTTGAAAAAAGAGGCCACCGTATGTACGTTTATTTGAGAGGAGGAGGATTATATTTTTGAAAGGGTGAAACATTATGAATATGTTAATTATATAATAATATGTATTATTATAAAAAAGAAAAAATAAAGCACGTTAAAATTTTTCTTTCTTGATTTTTTACAAAATCTACTTAGAATTATGCAAAATATGACTAAATAATTATAAATTTCAAGTTAAATTTTAATTTTGATAAATAATTTAAATTTCAAAATATCAAGTTCAGTTCGACTATGTATGTAGTAATTCCTCAATAAAGTGCCAAAACCCTATTAAAATATATGAACATTTTCAACATTTTAATGTTTTTATTTAAAAATTTGATGGAATATGAGCTTCAAACAATTATTATGTAAATAAAAATAATTAAATATATGTATTTATTCGTATTACAACCGTAGTAAGTCGATTCTTCCTTTCTTCTACTGAGGTTTGAATTTGATTTCGAATTGTAAAGAGATTCAAAGGGAAAATACTAGCGGATAAAAACTACCTCCATGAAAGGGTCATAATGGAGTCAAGTTGTATTTTTTGATATTTTTTGCTTTTCGAGCCTAAATAGGTAGCCAAGATAATGCCTAAAAATAAGGTTCTAAATTCTGAAGTTTACATGATCCTCTCGTGTGCACCCTTAACTTATAAGAAATTTTTTTGAATTATCGTTGATTTATTGTAATCTTTCCAGGCTATACTTTTGAAATCAACTTTACCTGTCATACGCATTAATGTAGTAGATGTCTAGGTGTAGCTATTATATCCCAGCAACATTGGTATTTTATCATTGTAAGATATCAAAATGAAGCGTTTTTTCAGATATAATTTTTCGTAAATTTTTCAAAAATAAGATGGTAAAAAAGCCTCGACTTGCTCGAAAAATAACAATTTTTTTGACTTGTAAAAATAACCCTTTTACAGCATGGGCAGCTATTCAATCACTATTTCTTTTTCTAAAAGTATATTTTTCAAAAAAAATTAAGATCAAATTCGACAATTTCTTGATGAAAGCAAAAATATTACACATACTTCTAGATGCATGGGATAAAATATGCAATTATTCAATCAATTCGCATGATTTGAAAAAAAAAATCTAAATTTGATAAAAATGTAGAAATTTTTTATTTTTAACTTGAGATTCGATTTTTTTTGATCCAATTTGTGAATTTTTTTTTGATCGGAATTTCAATTAATTTGTTGATCAAAAATGACCTCACAATGTTTGATCATAAGTGAAGTCATCTTCATGGGTATTTAGAAATTCCAAGAGAAATTGCTTATTTCTCGCAGATGTAATATCTGAGAAAATCGAATTTAAATATTCATAGAAACCCAAATCATTCTCCGGTTCGAATAATTCATCTGTTGCTTTTTCTGTTTTTTCTATGAATTTTAATAATTTGATTAATAAATCTTCATCAGGAAGAATTATTGCTGCATTTGTGATAAAATTCCATATTGAGGTAATATGGCAATAATTACATTTATAAAATGTAATTTTATCCAAAATTTTTTGGCAAATTCGCATAATAGCATTAATATTTGAAGCTGAGATTAAACCTGTGATTACTTCTGTAACTTTTGGAAAATCATCGCAATTTAATATCTCTTTATATTGAAGTAGTATATGAGTGCGGGTTGTGTGACTTTTTTTGTAAACGTAAGAATTCATACAATATTGAACGATTTTGTATCATTTTTTTTTACATATGAAGTAAAAAATGTATGATTCTTACGGTTTTTATTCTTACGTTTTTGAATAAATCAAGATTTAAAAATGTTCAAAATTGTAAGACATTTACACTCAACCCATACATAATGAAATAAACTGTTGTAAACAGAAATTCATCAAAAGTGACACCTCAGAAAAGCTAAAATATTGAATTTTTGGAACTTTTGATAGAGCACGTTTTTAAATATTAATTAAAGTAAATGTATATTTTGTAAAGATTCTTTTTAATAAAAAAGTAAAATTTTGAAGAAGAACACAAAATCTTCTGAAAAATAATATCACATAAACTCATATTATTTTCTAATATATAACTATTTTATATAAAAATCAAATTCAATGATCTTAAAAGCGAAGGATAAACCTCAAAATTTACGAATATAATGAGTGGGAATATAATGCTTATCTATCATAAAACCATATGAAATATCAATTTTTGCTTTACGCCTATTCCCACTCATTATATTCGTAAATTTTGAGGTTTATCCTTCGCTTTTAAGATCATTGAATTTGATTTTTATATAAAATAGTTATATATTAGAAAATATTATGAGTTTATGTGATATTATTTTTCAGAAGATTTCATTCTATATGCCTATGAAAAGTACTCTCAAAACTAACTTTTTCCTAATTATAATTAAATCTAGAATATTGTATTATGCTTAGTATTATTTCATTTTTCTCATTCAATTTAGAATTTACAAATGTCAAAAAATTGAGAGCTGTCACTTTTGATGAATTTCTGTTTATTACAAAACACATTAAAAAAATTAACATTAATTTTAAAATAATTTATTTTTCATCATTTATAAAAGAAGCTATATATATAGATGATGTCAGATATTCCGCGATTAATTAAACATTGTTTAAATCATGAATGGAATCAATGGAGTCATAATCAAAGACCTCATAAACGAGAAGAAGAAATTAGAAACTAATGATTATTTGAATTTATGAAATCAATTATTTGATTCATTCTTTCTTCAATCTCTTCTATTCTTTTTGTTAAATCATCAATTTTCATTAATGAGGTGATTCTTGATCAAAGAGGTGGGCACCCCTAAAACATTTATTTTATTTTTATATAAATGGATAATGTAGATTTAAAAATTTTAATTGATGATTTAGTATTTAATCAAAATTTTCTTAATTATTATGATTTAAAAGCATATCTTCAAAAATATGATAACAATATAACGGGTGATGATATGGAATATTATTATCCATATTATAAAAATGAAATTTTGAAATATCATGATAAAATAATTTCTAAAATTAAAGACAAAATTAAAAATAATGAATATATAAAGGGAAAAACTAAATCACAACTTAAACAATTGAAAGATTTCAAAAATAAAGTATTAACAGAAGAAGATATTGATGAATTATATAAATTATATAATCCTGAGCCGCAAAAAACAAAGATGCAAAACGCCCAGGTCCTTCAGACCATAAGTGATGCACAAGCTTTAATTTATGATTCATTAGTTAAACCACACTCAGCCCGACTTTTAAATGAAGATCAACTTTTGGAATTCATCCTTCAACATAAACTCGAAGCGGGAAAGTATATCAAACCTTTATATACAGTATATTTAAAACAAATGAATAAAATACATCCAGAATTAATGAAAGGAGGAATGAAATCCAAAATCAAAGCAGATAAAATTAAACCACTTGCAACACCAAAACCTCTAACAGTAGTACCTCCTCCTCCTTCAGTTAATCCTTCATCATTCACTTTATTATATCCATTTCAAACATTAAAGAAGCAAAAAGATTTTAAAAGGGATTTCAAGATATTAAATAAACCAACTGACCCAAAAATTCAACCGTTAAAGGAAAAATTTAGTCGCCCCTCATTTGCACCACATCCATATTCATACGAAATCGATCATTTAGAATATTCAAAAGGAAACGTTACTTATTTATTCGCCATTAACATTAACACCAGATATTTATATTGCATTCCGGTGAAAGGGAAAACAGAACAGGAAACAAGAAGAGCTATTCAATACTTACTAGATCATGAAAGAGTAGATAATATAAGGGGTGATGGTGATAAAGGATTTCAGGCAGCTATGGCTCATTATTTCCCACAAATTAATTTTTACTTTTCATCCTCTTCATATACGTTTCATAATAAAATAGTTGATGCGGTAATGAGAACTCTTAGAGATGCGTTAGGAGTTAACGGTCAGATATACTGGGATGGAAATCATGACTCCATCATACAGCAGGTAGTATATTATTACAATAATACATGGCATAGAACTATAAACATGAAACCAGTGGAAATGAAAAATGATATTTCAAAAGAATGGGAATATATTAGAAAGCAAATGGAAAGGTTAAATGATGTTAAACGTGAACAAATTAATTCGGGGCTCATGAATTTTAAACAAGGGGATAAAGTTTTGATTCATCTCGATTATGGAAAAACTGATAAATCAATGACAAAAAGAAGACGAAGATTTGACACAATAGCTGAATTTGTTAGATATATTAACGGTAATGCATTAGTTGAAGTTGACAATAAATTAATAGAAATTCCGATTTATTTTATTACTCCATTATATTTAAATAATATTTAATTTTTTTATTTCGTAAGAAATGAGTGACAACGAAGCAGCCAAGAGTCCAGACGATGAATATAAAAAGAAACTAAACAAAATTAAATCAAAAATATGCTATTACAAAAAGAAGCCGCAATGTGGTGGGGTTGAAAACGATCAAGAGAGGAAAGAAATAATTGAAAAATTAGAAACTTACCGTTCAATCCTTAAACTGAGTGAAGCAAAAATAAAAGAATTTAATAGAATAAATAAATTGATTGGAAGAGATGAATTTAATAAAGATGAATTTTTAAACTCAATCCAAATTTAATTTTTATTCCTCATCTTCTCGGTTTTCGTGGTTTGTTGTTTTTTTAATTAGTTCTTGCATCATTTTTATCATTTCCTTCCTTGTTATGATTCGTGGTAAATTTTGAGCTTGTGGGGTATTCATTTATATAAAAATAAAATTTTGTTATCAGTTATTTTATCGTTAATGGTTTTAGGTTATTCAATAATTATTTATTTTTGAATAACTGATGAGGTCACCGGGTCACCAGGTCACCAGGTAATTTAACTTCTCTGAAAAAATGAGACAACATGACATTTTGACAACAGGTATGAAAGGAGGAAGGCACTTATTATTTATTTTTGAATAACTGATGAGGTCACCAGGTCACCAGGTCACCAGGTAATTTAACTTCTCTGAAAAAATGAGACAACATGACATTTTGACAACAGGTATGAAAGGAGGAAGGCACTTATTATTTATTTTTGAATAACTGATGAGGTCACCGGGTCACCAGGTCACCAGGTAATTTAACTTCTCTGAAAAAATGAGACAACATGACATTTTGACAACAGGTATGAAAGGAGGAAGGCACTTATTATTTATTTTTGAATAACTGATGAGGTCACCGGGTCACCAGGTCACCAGGTAATTTAACTTCTCTGAAAAAATGAGACAACATGACATTTTGACAACAGGTATGAAAGGAGGAAGGCACTTATTATTTATTTTTGAATAACTGATGAGGTCACCGGGTCACCAGGTCACCAGGTAATTTAACTTCTCTGAAAAAATGAGACAACATGACATTTTGACAACAGTATGAAAGGAGGAAGGCACTTATTATTTATTTTTGAATAACTGATGAGGTCACCAGGTCACCAGGTCACCAGGTAATTTAACTTCTCTGAAAAAATGAGACAACATGACATTTTGACAACAGGTATGAAAGGAGGAAGGCACTTATTATTTATTTTTGAATAACTGATGAGGTCACCGGGTCACCAGGTCACCAGGTAATTTAACTTCTCTGAAAAAATGAGACAACATGACATTTTGACAACAGGTATGAAAGGAGGAAGGCAAAAATAAATTCAAATCATACTTTATAAAGCTTCATTTACAGGTATTTCATCGTCAGTAAATGAATCCTCATTATCGTTTGGTTCAACCTGTTTATATATATATCCTTTCATTTCTTCTTTCAAAACATAATACCATGTCTGTTTACCATCTATTTTTCTTTGTTTCCTATCACATTTATCCTTAATACTCATTTGGAAATTCTTGTCTTTCATGTCTGATGGTTTGCAGAATAGAGCATTTTTACATGTCATACCTGCACACAATTCATCATAATGTGTATTTATCCATACATCTAAAGGATTTGTTGATAATTCAATTAAATCTTGTTTGGCTTCAGTCATCGGAATGATTCGTACATTAAATGATGAAAGGTCATATTGCATAAAATACGTCAGTAAATTATCATAAAATTCCTTAGTGCATGAATCCATTAAATTCTTGAAGTAATCAAATTGACCCTTAAATTTACCATTAACTCTTAAAACTACATATCTTCTGTCTCCAACTTCAATTTTGACGGGGTAAACGTTGTTAGTTACGAAAATGAAGTTTGCAACATTCTGAGCTGTTCTTCTGGGTTGATTCTTTTCATTAATTCTAATCTCATTATCCGTAATAATTGATTTCAAAGCGTTGAAGTTTGCGAGTCTGTCTTCACCTACATTCTTGAGTTCATTAAGTACAAGAAACATTTTATTCTCAACTACTGAGTTGAAATTACCCGTTAGCTCACCTATTTCAGTAATGTTTTTACATGAATAACCAGCGAGAAGTTCAGAAATAATGTCTGTGAATCTGTTTTTACCTGTTCCCTGAAGTCCTTTCAAAATAATTGCTGTTTCATTCTTGATTCCAGGATGTTGAATCATTGATGCAATCCAGCCGAGAAGGTATTTATACACTTCATCGTTATTATCACAAATGGTTTCTTTAATGAAATTCATAAACATCTCAATTTTTGAGTAATCTGGTTTTTCGAGAATGTTGTATTTATAACCTTGAAACGTTGAGAAAACATCTGGGGAATCAGATTTAAAGCAAACACCCTTAACGGTTAATGAAGACAATTGATTTAGTAGTACATCCCATGCTGTTATGGTTTTACCTTCTTCATTAAATATATTAATCATTTTGAGTGACTCTTTCATGTTTGATTGAAGAACGAATGATATTTGATTCATTTTGTCGTGTATGTTGTAATCTTTTTGAATGAAATATTTATTTCCACAATCTACAAAACGGATTACACGTGATAAATCCTCAATTACTTCAGAACTGTTTTTATACTGATGATTTTCAGCCTTGCGTCTAATATCTGTTATCAAAAACGAGTCATCAAGTTTTATATCAAATGTTATTTTTGGCTTACGTAATAAAGGCAAAACATATTCATCATAATATTCCTTTTGATATAGTTTTAGAATCTTCACCAAAACAAATGGAGAAGTCATTAAATGTGCATATCTATTACGTGCTTTTTCAAAATTACTTTTTGCATTTTCTGTTAAACTACAGAAGTTATAAACGTTGTCGTATGCTTCATTAATTAAATGATTGGGTAATGAATTAATAGCTTGAAACAGTGTGAATAATGTAACTTCTTTTTCTAAATTCTTGTTTCCACCGTCATTATGTACTTCAAAATCACAGATGCCATCAACTATGCTTTGAGCTAGTTTATCGTCAATGTTTATATCTTTGTTCTCATTCATGATAGTCTTTATTTCTTCATTCTTCTGTTCAACTCTTACCTTAATATTCAAATCATTTAATATATCATTCACTGTTCTAGTTAATGTTGAATCATAACTTCCACGAATGAATGAGTATGTATTGATTGGTTCTGTTGCATTCTTGCGAACTCTTGAATCAGCCATAACACTAATGAACGCTTTGAATCAATAGAAGTCATTATCAATATCATAATCATTGCAGGAATAACATTTAATCATTCTGTTCGAAACTGCATAGAAGAAATTAGTGTTGCAATAAATGTGAAGACCTCCCGAAGCGGTTTTAACGATAACATCTTTATCCGAAAGTTTTGATAAAATGTCTTTTCTAACTGTTTCTTTAAGTTCATCATTGTATGATTTATTAATATCAACATCTATAATCGTTAAATTTGATATTTTATTTACTAATAAAGCCATACCGGTTTTCCTTCCTCTTCCTCCATCATGTTTGAGGTAGTTATGTAAATCAATCATGTTTTCACCAATTCTTTCGTTGAGGGTTTTAGTTTCTGCCACAACTAATTCCTCAACTAATGAATCAATAACTTTTTCATCAGAAACGATATAGTTGCTGTTGTTGTTTGTTGCCGTCATTTATATAGGAATAAAAAATAAATAATAATTTTAAAACTAACTTTATTTTTTGACTGCATCAAATTTCCAGCACTGTTGTCAAAATGTCATGTTGTCTCATTTTTTCAGAGAAGTTAAATTACCTGGTGACCTGGTGACCCGGTGACCTCATCAGTTATTCAAAAATAAATAATTATTGAATAACCTGAAACCATTAACGTAAACATTAACGATAAAAATTTATTTCCAGCACTGTTGTCAAAATGTCATGTTGTCTCATTTTTTCAGAGAAGTTAAATTACCTGGTGACCTGGTGACCCGGTGACCCGGTGACCTCATCAGTTATTCAAAAATAAATAATTATTGAATAACCTGAAACCATTAACGTAAACATTAACGATAAAAATTTATTTCCAGCACTGTTGTCAAAATGTCATGTTGTCTCATTTTTTCAGAGAAGTTAAATTACCTGGTGACCTGGTGACCCGGTGACCTCATCAGTTATTCAAAAATAAATAATTATTGAATAACCTGAAATCATTAATGATAACATATATTTTTGGTCGTTTATGATAAAAATAAATGGTTCATTTACTCACAATATTTTTGTACAGAATGACCCCAAACTTTTAACTTCTTTTCTGCAGCTTCAAATGCTATCTTAGCGAGTTCATATTCTCTAAATTCTCTCTTTAAATCTTCTTGTTCCCATTGGTCTAGTTCGTATGGGGAATCTCTATAACCATAACATATCTCACGTTCATGTTCTAATTGTTTTTCGCGCATTTTTCCAACTTCTTCTTCAAACAAATGTTTAGCATTCTCTACTGTATCTTCGAGTTCTTCTTCATCTAATTTCTCATGAACTTTCTTGTCTATGGAGTCCATAATTTTTCCAACTGCTATGCAATATTTTGGAGAAGCCCACATTGCTATATAGTTTATAAGTCTTGGGTCTACATACGTTCCTCTAACCTGTTTGATTTCATCAGGAATTCCTGCATGAATTTTGTATAAAAAGCAACCGCCGGAATTCCGACTGTTGCTATATTCTTCACAAAATGCCTTATAATACTCTTCCCAGGACTTATTTTCCAACAACTTTCTAAAGTCTTTCCTAAACTGCTGACACATCTTTGTTGCATTAATGTAACCATCCTTGTCTCTACGTAAGACTTCAATACCATTATAAGTGCCTTTTGTGAATGTTTCGCCATTTGATTTGTTCGTGAATGTTTTTGCTTCGACTGACATTTCTGTTCTTACATACAAAATAAAAAAATAAATAAAAATAATTTTAAAACTAACTTTATTTTTGGACTGCATCATATTTCCAGTGATGTTGTCAAAATGTCATGTTGTCATCATTTTTAAAAGAAGTTAATTGTCATGGTAGCACATGGTAACATGGTAGCACTGAAATCAAATTTTGTTATCAGTTATTTTATCATCATTTTATTAACTTCGTCTTTAGTTAATAATTTGAATGGATTCGCTAATGTTCCACCTTGAGTCACAACACTTGCCCCGGCTAATTGTGAAGAACCTGGGATAAGTACTCCATGAAATGATTTCATTGGTAACATTAATTTAGAAATAGTTGGCTTAATTAATTTTGTCATTTATGATAAAAATAAAATTACATAATTTAAATTTTTTTCTTTCTCATTTTCTCATCCTGTTTTGGTTTCAGCAACTTTTCAAGTTGTTGTCTTGTCAGTAACTTGAATTTTAACTTTGGATCAAATATTGGGTTTCCATCTTTATCTCTTCCAATAACACCATATGGTAGAATCTTCATTTATACTAAAATAAAAATTTAAATTATACCGTTTGCTCTTTTGGAGCTCAGGACTTTCAGTCCGTTCTAAAGTTTGTTTCACAAACATTGAGCGTTCATTGAACTCTATACCATGCGTAAACTGTCATGTAAGGTGGCATGTATTCTTTACTTTGTCCCGTTGTTTGTGTATATCCTGAAACGAAATGTGTATGGTTTCCCTCTCCCTGAGTGTCACTTCAGTAACAATTTATAGCAAACTTAACATCATCTTTAACATCATATCCTTTACTTTTGTCATTCCTGACCAATCCCAATATCTATGCTTATGCCAACCCGCTTGAGATGTACTTAAATCTATGTAGTGACTGTGTGCAGGTAAATTTTCACCTGTAATCGTTTTACTTCCCCCTGTTTCCTTTGAAGAGTTTGCACAATACAAAAACCTGTCGACTATTTGTTCCCATGCACCAACACCAAACATTACTTGAGGACCTCTTGCATCCATAGATGTATAAATAGAACCTACTGGGTTCATTAAATCAAACATATGAGATATTATAGGATTGCCTCTTTTGAACTTAAAATATAGTGCAACTATTTCAGGTTTCTTCTGGTTTGTGTCAGAATATTTTTTATAATATAATCTTATGTTTTCAGGGTGGGTAAAATCTTGACTATAATATTTATTTCTGTCATCTGTATAATAATATACTATTCTCGTTTTTTCTATTGCATTATATCTTTTATATCTATAATAATCTAAATATAATGTTAACTTTTGTTCATCTACATGTGGTGTTCTGACATCATCTCCATAGTCATAATAATATGGTGCTGGAGCTGGGTCAGGCAATGTCATATCCACCATTTCATAAACTCTTAAATATTTCTTTTGTTCGTCTCCATATAAGTTTAAGTAACAGTTGTTGTCTAATGGAACTTTAACTTGTGTGCCATCATTCTTTTTATAACTTACATACATTTCATTGTTATTTTTCGGAATGAGTTTACACCGTGTACCATTTTTTAAGGACTGTACAAACTGCCATCTAAAATATTTATTTTCTTCATTGACAGAAAAGTCACCAACAATAGTTTCAATATTTTTTGTTGTTCCTATCAAACTTTGGTATATTTCGTTAACATATTCCTTATCCGCTTTCTTCTCTAACTCATCGTTAACATAAGTTTTATCTGCTTTAAGGTCTAAACATCCTGAAACCCATCCTGTATCAGCTTTAGTTTTAAAAATCTTCGATGTCCATTCATGATACCATTCAACCCTTTCTTTAATTTCATTATCTTTTTCATCAACATAAACCAAATTTGCCTTCTTATTTAATTCACTAGCTACATATTCCTTATCCGCTTTCTTCATTATGTCGTTTAGGAAACCTTTTATGAATTCCTCATTTAAATTAAATCTTCCAATCTTCAAAACTTTGGGAAATGCATTTAATGCGTAATATCTTTGTTCTTCTGGTGGAATTGATGTTATATCATCCGTTATTCCTTTAATTTTTGAATTCATAAATAAAATTTCTTTTATATTTGATATCACTGCACCACCTTTGCAAATGAATTCGAAATGGTCATTTTTCAATACTATCTCCAAATCTCCATATTTCAACCTTTGTGTTTGTTCTGCCATCTTTGAATTATATGCATATATGGCGTATGTAATGGTTTGAAGGACCTGGGTGCTTTGTGCCTTAAGTTGCTGTTGTTTAATCATTTATTACGATTTAAAAATAAATATTTAATCCGTTATCTCATCAGCTATTTTTTCTATTTGAAATTGCCATAATATTTCATTCATAAATTCTAAATCACAATCAAATAGGTCAGTTATTCTAAATTTAATATTTGATAAATCTTTTGAATGAAGAATAAATGAATTCCCGGATAATTGAAACGGATATGATAAAGAAAATGTGTTTAAGTTGATGGATAAAATGTTTTGTATTGATGGGTAAGAGTTAGGGTCTAATGTTTGATGTGAAAATCTCATTGGGGTATTAACTTTATCACATTTGATTAAAATGAAATTGGAACCAGTGTCAGAATACAAAACATCCCCAACATCTTTTTCAAAATTTAATATCCCCAACAATGAACGAAGATGAGGAGTACAAAATTTAATTTTCAGCGGGAATTTAATAAGGTTATTTATTTCATCAAGTTCAAAAAGTTTATCAGGTTTTGATTTAAAATTTTCTTCATACCATACGATAAATGATTCATTTAAATAACTTAAAATCGTGTTAATATCCCATTTCGCTATCACGTTATTTATATACATATCATACGTTTTTTCATGGTCATCTTTAATAAATGATATATAATCTGAAGGGTCTAA